AACTTTTTCGTTAGTCTGAGAGCAGTCATTTTAATCAAAATCTATTAGTGTGTCAAATCCTTTCCGGGGTGAGAAATTAATGTTTATCCTCTGCAGTGAGAGAAAAATTGTCCGCAATCTATTTGTATTTTATGTTGAGAAGAGAAGAGAGATTGTCTGCAGAGGAAAAGCTCAAAAGTTTTTGGGAGAGGGGCAAAAGTTGCAGATGAAATATTGGAAAACTGGGCGTCACCAATTCAACTGAGTTTCATCTGCGCGTCTCTCGCTGCATTTCCACTACTCTGGATGAAGGAGCAAGTGAGAGAGAGCTTTTCCTCTCCACCACCCTCTTGGAAATATGATTTTCATGGCTGCTGGCAGGAGGGGGTGGTGTTTGGAAAATTGCACAAGTGACACAGCAGCAAACCCACCTGCCTTTCGTCCGCATGTTTTCGTGCCGTCATGGAATGAGGCAAATATTATCATCCTTTGTGCACTCTGCCAACTAAAGCTTGCAGACAACTCCATGGCGCATAAAAGCTTCCATGGAAAATTTGGGCGAGGGTGAAAGTTTACTAGAGCGACATTTCGAGTGGGATGATTATATGTGATGTTATTTGGTGCGCCATCCCCGCGCCCTATTCATAGGAAATATTAGTTTTAGCATAAAATGCCACTTGGAAATGCTTTTCTTGAGAACACATATGGAATCAGGGGAAACCTACTGGCCAAAGACATGCCCTCTGGATATCGACACCACAAGTCATAAAAAGACATGTCTTCAGGTTCCACCCAAAAGTTCTCTTGGAATCACACCAACGAAATCGCACGAAAGTTCACCGCACACAAATACAAAAGGGGCGAATTTGAGTGTGGGTGGCGAGAAGCGATTGAAATGGAAGAAACTCATGGGCGTCTGCAGACTCCAAATGTGAGCGTGTCTTTCTGCAGATGTTGAAATGGCACAAGACATGCGCCTTCTCGAATCACAAAATTATTGGCTACAAAACAAATATAGAGCGAGAAAATTATGTATCTGTAAGCTCACTCTGTATTTTTTCTCCAACACCCCCCACCGCCCCTCCACATCTCCATCCCAAAGAGAATAAGACGAGAGCGAGGAAAAAAACCATCACGAAAAGTTCTTTTTCTCGTTTACATCGTGGCGATGGAGGATTTTCCCTCTTAGAGCCGCATATATACGAAAAATTTTATGTGGTTTTCTCCTCTGGGGTAGTAATATATGAAGGGCCCCCTGCTGATGGAAAAAATGACCTAGATATATATTTTATGCTCCAATGTCTTGGCTATACACCATTCCCATAGATGCCTCTATATATATTTATTATGATTACATTCAACTCTTATTCTATCTCCTCACATTTCTCTCTCTCTCTTTCTCACTCTCCTTCTCTCTCTCATACACTCTCTCACTTCCACCGTTGGCGGCATAACTCACAGAGGGAGAAGAAATATAACAACATACATAAAAAGATATTCCATATAAAAATATACTCATAGTGTGAGATGCGTGGAAAATGTAAGAAGAAAAATATATTTCCAGTACAATCATTCTCTCGTTCCCACTCGCAAGGAGCTTTTTCCGTTGCTCATATTTGGGCACCACCCATTCAATGAACCATACAGAGGGAGAAAAATATTTCGTTTTGGCACCCCCAAAAACACTCACACATTCTCCCCAGCAGGAGGTGTGGGAAATTCTTTGGGGATGATGATGGTGTGAAAGCCTCCCCCGAAAATGATGAGATTTTCGTATTATTTTGGAAATTTATATTCGGTACCATGAGTGAGAAAAGTTTGGTGAGAGAAAAGGCACAGATATAAGGTATGAAATATGCTGGGAAAATCTAAAATCAATACACGTCTAAAATGGCTCTTCCACAATTCCATTGAAGGCGTCACACAAAAAACCCATGACTACATCAGCGTTATCTGTGGAAGGACAATTTTTTTACTCTTAAAACAATCCCAAAAACCATCCAAACATTTTTAATTTTTTAATCATTTCTGAATACTTTTTTCCCAAGTTTGTGTATCACATTTTGTTCTAATTTTCGATAACTTTCAGATTTATATTTCAGACATCCATATGAAGTGGTCTCACATTTCACAAATACAACAGCTTTCCTTGAAATAAACCAATTCTTGATCTACTGATTGCAATTAGTTTATCAGCTTTATCAATTATTTGCTCTTCTCTAAGTGTATATAATTTGTTTTCCATATGAATGTCCTCTCATGTCCAATAAAAATCCCATAGTGCACTCTGAGACCTTTCAGAAAAGCAATTAATCTGGTAAAACTGAGAGTCCATTAGAAATAATCAATGAATTCATTTAAAAATTTGAGTCGTGTGAAAAAAGTATGACAGATAAGCGAGCTTTTCTACTATTCTTCAAGAGGAAATCATGGTGATGAAACCTACTCAATTATTGCATATATGACATTTATGTTTGGTCAAATGAGTCAAATCTGCTTTAAGGCTAAAAATAGCCCAAGAGTAAAGGGCCAAATTATACAGTTTCATCACGCATTTATCATTCAAAAAACAACCGTGAAAGCGATTGTAGAAAGGGTCACGTTATGGAAATGATCGTTCATTGGAATTGAGAATTTATGGCAGAATTCTGAAACTAATGGATCACACTCTTGTGATGAAAGTTCATTTGCCTCCGTGGAATGATTTATGCATGTTGTTTTCACTTTCAGTAAAATGTCTTGGGCTAGGGCTATCTCTATAGAATGCGCGCCTCCCGTCCATTCCAGTTTTGCTCTTGAGACAGAAGAGTGCACTGCACCCACGTCGGTCTCTTGACCGACGCAAATGCTCAAAGGGCTCGATAAGATGATAATAAAACTTTCTAATTTTCCATCGTCCGATGACCCCCTTTTCCCGTTCGTCCCCACCTGGGGCGAAAGAGCCTAATTAACAGCTCATTGCAACAGACTTTCTAATGAGTTTGTGAGGAAAATTGCGTGGAAAATTTGGCCGTGTACACTAAAAAGATCCAGCCTAAAATAATATTGAAGAATGCGCGAATTAAACCCCGAATCAGTTTCAACCGGAATACAATGAGATGGTCGTTTTTGGATTTTATATGTCGTCTTTTTGGACAGCCAAAAGTATTAATCGCAGTGGTGGTAAAGAAATGCAGCTCCAGACACATAAAGGATGAACAAAAAGAGGGGCCAACAAAATTTGTATAGACCAAGATCTGGTTTTGGAATATCGCGAATTCCTCGGAAGTTTGACTGTCTGAAAATCTGGTCGATGTTTTTAGCATTCGTTCTCGTGATACGAATCAGACTAAACCTGGGGGAATTCCAATTTTAGTCAATCCAATAGTTCAACCATTGAGGTAGGTCCACTTAAATGCATTCATGTGGACATTTTCGCTGCTCTTATAATCGAACACTTCTTTTCTCATCCCACAGCTTTTTCCCAGCTGTTTTTCCATCTACGCGCTTCTGTCAGTGCATGTGCAGTATTTATCTGGAAAATAAAGTAGTAGCAATGATTACGTTGCTAATAAAATGATGATAATAATATAAGTAATGATTGCGATGATATTTTATATAAAATTGCAGTGGGTGTGAATACTTATCACGAATGACAATCTGCAAAAATACATTTTGTTTGTAACAATTGATTTTCTAGAGAGAACATTTAGACAAATCGATGATAAAAAACGATTGCGAATAAATCATATGAGACAATTTTATCTAATTCTATATTGAGTAAGTATAAATTAGTATTATTGTGTTGCATAAATGATCATCACAGTTTAGAGGATTTTTTTTTACGAAAAAAGCATTTATAAAGACGTTATTAAATAATTCATTTGCGTGATCTGCACAGTGAAGAACATAATTGTAGCAAAAATTTGCATTATTTGCAAGTTTGCATAAAAATACATAAGTATATTTCAGTGAGTTCAGCCTTTAAAATGCTAATTTCCTTCACGACCCAATCTTTTAACGGAATAAGAACTTAAATAATAGAAAATTTTGCCCTAAGAACTTCACAGTGCATCGTACATCAATTCAATTTTATTTAAACAGCGCATTGTAAAATTTGCAAGTGATTCGATTAACACTGAAATAACTGTAATTGCTTTAATGATGCAACCTTGGCCGCGCTCAAGTTATAAAGTCATGCGACTCTTTTTTCGTTTGTTTTCTCCATACGAAAAGAACGACGAAGTCTTGCAAGTTCTCCCCAATTCTTTCTTCTCTTTCGCCCAAAAAGGCTGCCACTGACAGAAGCGTCTATCTCGCTTGTTTTCAGGTCTTCAACATGGAATTTGTATTATTTCTGCCATATATGGGAAAAATCGCTCTGACCTTATATTTGATAGGATTGATAAGAGAATGTGATACTGTTTGTCATCCATGTGTCTCAATTCCGGAAAAATTTGCATCGTGAGCTGTAAATTGAGTCGCTCAGAGGGGTCAATCTCTATGTGGTGATGGAATACAAAGATTACACTGAATTATCTAATGTCTATTTTTGCTCCTCGGGCACTCAAGCTTCTGTGGCTGACGTTGAGCTTCGGAGCTTTGTCATTTAAATTCTCCAGCGTCAGAAATATGCCAGTACAAATGTGGGATTTCCGTGGAAAATAATCTTGTGTGGGTTTTTGTAATTTAGATTTTCATTGAATATTTTGCAGTGTCAGGCCAAAATCTCTGACCCTTCCAACCGCATCCCATTGTGAGACTATTAATATTCTTCTTAGTTAATTTTTTTGTGATTTCCGTTGATCCCACTCCACACAAGCACACACACATGCCACTTCATGAGCTTTCTGGACCTTCCATTGGTCACTAGACTTCCAGATTCATCTCTGAATTGTCCAATTCCGACTGCTCTCGCCCCACATCACGGCACTCTTTCTCTGAGTCAATTTTTGGGCCACTTTTTGGCCACCATAATCGCCCAAAAGATACAACTGAGAGTATAAAAAAGCACTAACGCCACGCGAAGCGCTCACAAGTTTTGTGGTCAGTCAGTGATGAACAAGGCATATCTGTACCAGAAATCCAACAGTCTGCAGCGCAGGGATGCGAAAGAGATCTTGAAAGAGTTTGGGCACCTCATTCAGTGGCGCGGAGATGGGGAAGATTCCATTCTGGACATCGGCTGTGGCAGTGGGGATGTCCTGATCGACTATCTGCTACCTGTGCTACCTCAGAACTACTCTCGCGTGATCGGAGCAGATATTTCCGAGCAAATGGTGAGATACGCCAGAGATACTTATGGCTATCTGAAGGGTATCTCCTTCGCCACCATGGACATTGGCGCCCTCGCGATGACCAGTGAAATAGAGCCTGTTCATCATATCACATCTTTCTACTGCCTCCACTGGGTGCAGAACCAGAAGTAGTGCAACTCCACATCGTTTTTCCAAATTTATTTCAATTGTCCTTTCTATTAGGGCCGCAGTGCAGAATATCTACAACCTCCTGACACCCGATGGCGATTGCTTGCTCACTTTCTTGGCTAATATGCCCATATTTGAGATCTACGAGAAAATGGCAAGAAGTAAGCGCTGGGCTTCATACATGACTGACGTCCACAAATTCGTTTCTCCCTATCAGCATTCCAAAAAGCCCGCTGAGGAGTTTTGGAATCTCATGTACGCCGCGGGATTCACAGAGATTCGGATAGAGTTGAAGGATAATTTCTTCGTTTATGACGGAATAGACATCCTAAAAAGTATAACAGCTCCGCTTACAATACCATATTTCTCGCTTATACCTATTCTTCTCTTTACTAGAGTCTGTGAGAGCAATTAATCCCTTTCTGGAGAGAATCCCTGCAGCCATGCACGAGAGCTTTCTCAATGACTATGTAGGCTGGGTGGCGAGAATGAGTCTTTTCGAAAGCAATAACAAGATTATCACACCATACAAACTGCTAGTGGCTTATGGCAAAAAGTAGTGTCTTACACATCAATGAATTGTAATGGAAATATTCTAAATAAATTAGTATATCAGGTGCTTTGAATATAATTTAATTTTAATCCGAAAAGAGCCTGTTTCATGGCTGTTATTTTTCATTGGATTCAAAATAAAGTTTTTACGATAGCAGCGCCATCATTGTAGAATTACATGAAAAATAGTACAATTGATATTTCATCCGTATTTCATTCTAAATTGAATTCTCCATATTGGGAAACCGTCTATTGAAGAACGGCCCCATCATATAGTGTAAATAAATAAATGACTCACAGTTATTCCACAACGCGATTTTCCTTGAGATTTGCTCATTACAATTCAATTACAATTGCAATTAAATTTTTTCTATGAAAATATAATTATATGTGCTGTATTCCAGATTAACTTATTTCAGTGGGTGAATTCGAGCCCACGTTTTCAACGCAAACAAAATTATTGTATTTTGATTTGTCCATTTTTAACCCAAAATTATTAATTAAAAAATATATGCAAATTTTCACACAATTCGCATCGATATATTGAACTGGTTGTGATAAATTTTCATAATACACGTTTTCACAAAATCCATAATACAGTCCCATTCGTAAACCGGAAAAACTCTATTCGGTTTTGGAAAGTGGAATATCTTGGAAATGTCCTATGCAACAGCGCCAATTCAGTCTAATATCCATGGGGATTCTTAATAGGGCGCTGGCGATCCACCAATCAGAAAGCAACAACACTTCGTCTGGCAAAGTCGCTATTCCAGGAGAATTTCCTCACCGGCGAGGTGCAAAAGTCCCTCAATTTCAATCGTAATCGTGTTCTCATTCATCTGTGCCAGTGTGCTTGAGTGGCAAGTTGATTAAGCGTCAATTTTCTGTAAAATAAGTGACAAATAGAGACAAATGAAGTTGATTTTGGGTGAGTTGAAGTTGCCTTTGTAATTTCTCGGATGGCTTCCATCTCTTGAACCACATTTTGTTATCTCCCTGGTTAGGAACCATATGCCTGTGGCTAGTCATCCAGCAAAGCGCTGCCTTGTACCCGTCCTCCAGTGACGTGGTTGATCTCACTCCTGCCAATTTCGATCGGCTGGTGCTTCAGGGCGACGCTGTGTGGGTAGTGGAGTTCTACGCTCCGTGGTGTGGTCACTGTAAATCTCTCGTTCCTGAGTATCAGAAGGCCGCCACGGCACTGAAGGGATTCGCCAAGGTGGGCGCTGTGAATGCTGATGAGCACAAAGGTTTAGCCGGACAGTTCGGAGTGCGTGGTTTTCCCACTCTGAAGATCTTCGGTGCAAACAAGAAGTCTCCCAGTGATTATAATGGTCAGCGCACGGCAGAAGGTATCGCTGATGCCGTCCTAGCGGAAGCCAAGAAGATGGTAAAAGCAAACCTGGGTAAAAAGCCGGGAAGTGGAAGTGGTGGAGGTGATTCCGATAGCAAGAGCGATGATGTAATTGAGCTGACGGACGCCAACTTTGATAAACTAGTCCTGAACAGTGACGATGTCTGGCTTGTGGAATTCTTCGCTCCCTGGTGTGGTCACTGCAAGAATCTTGCCCCTCAATGGGCCAAGGCTGCGTCTGAGTTAAAAGGAAAGGTGAAACTGGGTGCCTTGGACGCCACTGTGCATCAGCAGAAAGCTCAAGAGTACGGAGTTCAGGGATATCCCACCATCAAGTTCTTCCCCGGCGGCAAGAAGGATCGCCACTCTGTCAGCGACTACGATGGAGGACGCACGTCTTCGGATATCGTCACATGGGCCCTTGATAAGTATGTGGAAAACGTTCCTACTCCTGAGGTGCACGAATTGTTGTCGCAGGACGTCCTGACAGAGGCATGCGAAGGAAAAGCGCTCTGCATCGTATCGGTGCTGCCCCACATCTTGGACTGTAATTCCAAATGTAGGAACAACTTCGTCAACGTACTTAAGGAAATGGCCGAGAAGTACAAGGCTAAACAGTGGGGCTATGTGTGGACAGAGGCGTTGTCACAGAGCAAACTAGAGGAAACTCTAGGCATGGGAGGTTTCGGGTATCCCGCCATGGCTGTGGTGAATTTAAAGAAGAAGAAATACTCCTTACTGCGAGGTTCCTTCTCCAAGGAGGGCATCAACGAATTCCTACGCGACATCTCATACGGACGTGGCCAGACAGCGCCCATTCCCGGCGACGGTGACATCAAGGTGGTTACAGTTGAAGCCTGGGATGGCAAGGATGGCCAACTGCCCGAGGAGGAAGACATCGATCTCTCTGATGTGGTGCTGGACGATGAGAAAGATGAGCTGTAATCAGAGTAATTCTAGTTCATTCCCCATTACTTTTGAGACTGTGTCCAGTGTCGGATTTATAAGAAGATCGATGTATTTTAACTTCCAAAATGAGAATAAAGAGAGCAATTATGTAAAAATCGTATAAAATTTATTAGCAAAATTCGCAAAATACTAATTCGAATAATACCTCTTAAGATTCCTTATCAAAATTGGCAATTTCTCAGTCTCCGTCTTGTTCGTGATATGGATTTTCTTACCCTAAATGCGATTGTCTGCAGAATAAAAAAGCTACTCATATTATTTGTATCTGAACACTGTGGGCCCATCGAAGTCCGGGTCCATCTTCTCGAACTCTGCGGATCTCGTGGTGGGCGTGCTGGCACTTGTGGAGGATGCGACATCCATCACATCGTAGTGGCGCTCCTTCTTGCATATCAATGGGTAACAAATGTACCCATAGTATCCCCCAAATCCTATGAGGACAGCAAACATAATGAGAGTGATGATGCCCCATGCAGAGAACTCTTGCTTCTTCGCTGTCCTTGAAACACCAGTGTCACCGGACTGCTGTCCCATGTATCCTCTTCGCCCGGAGGCACTCTTGCCACCGCCGCCACTCGAGCGGCCAACGAGGGGGCTACTCAAAGCCAAATCGACACCTGCAAATCCACAGCGTCAGTGACGCCCAAGAATATTGGAGCCAGCATCAAAAGTACTTACATAATATCACCACTAAACACACCACAAAGCCTTTGAGCATGATTTAAGTACGTCGATGAGGGTGAGAATGATGAAAAAGGTACGATATTCCTTGAGGAACAAAGGAATTTCCTGATTTCCGCACTAAAAGTAAATAAACAACGTCGGTACGGCAGTGTGGTTTTGGCAGCTCTGCTAATGTAATCTAACCTCACTGTTCAGACCGTTCCTCTGAAAATTATTATTGTGGTCAAGAAAATGAGTGGCTATAAGGAGAAGCCAGCTGACGAAAGTTATTACACATCCGGACCCCATCAATTAGGTAGAGTGTCTGCAAGAAGTAATGTCGAAATTTTAATTAAACGCTGTTTGCAACAGGGGATCCGGACGATAAGTCATTGCGTAAGGTAGAGGTAGAGATTCTCATACCCAAGATCATGCGAGACCGTGCCAGAGAAGAGAAATGTATCCAAGAAGTGGCGGAATTTACAAAGTGTGGCAAGGAGAATGGGCTTATGTTGGTATTTTCATGTCGAAGGGAGAATGAGAAGCTAAAGAACTGCCTAACAAAGTGGTATCAAAATGAGAGCTTCAAGAGCGAATGCCGGCAAATGTACTTAGACGATAGGACAGAATACCGCAGAACGGGCATAAAGAAGAAGCATCGGAACATCACAGAACAACAGTGATTTAGTGTAATAATCAGTCTATTCATGTTGGATGAAAAGAAAATCGCCTGGGATTAACTTCACTGACTGTAAAATTATTAAACTTATCTGCTAAACATTGAGGGTCTTGATGGCAGTATTGGAAGTCCTTAGATTGATTCACATGGAGAATCAAGAGATCCTTACCACTGGCTTCTGTGGTTCTGTATAAACTCTGCAAATTTATGCCTTTCAGCACCGTTCCTTCGTCTTGGAGAAACACAACGTAGCTTGAATGGTAGATTTCCGGACCCTCTCTGTACAACACTGAAGAAATAGACTTTGTAATCTTGAAAAGCATTAACATATCAAGAATTGACTTACGAAAATCTCCACCAAATTTCAGTCCAGATTTGATGACCCATTTCTTGCTTTTAAGATACTGATAGGCTATAAAAGATGTCACAAAGTTCTTCCTGGAACGACAAAAGTGGTCAAAGATGCTTTCTGTGCTGAGAATCTCTTGATTTTCAGTCACAATTTTCAAGCATTTGAGACAATTATGCAGAAAGAAGGCTTCTTCTTTCAAAAGATACAATCCGTCGCTTCTTCCTGGGATTCTTTGGCCAAAACACCCGTTTTCTTGGAGGATTTTCACAGAATCCTCATTTTCTACCAACACAACAAAGCCTTTGAGGATTCCTGTGTGATCATAGGAGTTTGCAATGGCTTTCACAGGTAAAGGACAGAAATTTTGGATTGCCGGAACTCCCTTTTTCTTGCGGAAAGACATGGTGAAATTTAGCAAACCAAAACAGAGGTGCAGAAAAGCAAGATAACAAAATTTCCCGAGAAATATCCCATTACCCCCTCCATGAAAATTGAGCAAGTTAAGTTGCTCAATATTGACAGCACTTGTCACTGCCGATCCAACAGTGAAACGTCACGTGAGTCGCAGGAACTTGGAAAATTTTCTCCAAATTCTCTTGTGAAAAAGGTGATTTTCCCGAAAGAAGTAACTGAAAATCAATCAACAAGATGACTGAGAATATGGCTGATTTGATGACATCTCTGCACGATGATAAAATCGGTGAGTTTAGGCGTAAAAGCTAAAAATAGCTAACTGACCAAGTCAGATGACTTGAGGGCGGAGGGCAAAAATCTTATTGCGGGCTGGAAAATCACAGAAAAATAACTTTTCAGACATGATTGCGGCCACAAGTGTGCTCCAACAGCAGGCCGGAGACATCCGCCAGATCAAGATCAACTGGCAATCGTACATGCAGTAAGGAAAACTAGGAAAAAGGTGGAGATCAGCTGACTCAATGTCATGCGTTCAAATTGCTTTCAGGTCTCAGATGATCTCCAGCGAGGATTACAACTGTGTTAGTGCCCTGGATGGGGAGAAAAAGGCACAGTACTTGCAGCAGAATCCGTCGCAGTGCGCAAAGACGCTGCTTAATCTTCTGTCGCACGTCTCTAAGGACCAGACCATCCAGTACATCCTCGTGATGATTGACGATCTGCTGCAGGAGGATCGCTCGCGAGTGGAGATCTTCCACGACTACTCGATGAAGCGCAAGGAGAGCGTTTGGGGACCATTCTTAAACCTCCTCAACCGTCAGGATGGTTTCATTGTCAATATGTCGTCGAGGATTCTAGCCAAGTTGGCGTGCTGGGGTCACGAGCAGATGCCCAAGTCCGACCTAAACTTCTATCTTCAGTGGCTGAAAGATCAGCTGACCGTGAATGTGAGTATTTGGCTTAACAACCTCACTTGAAGATCACACGTTTTGATTACAGGGAATCTCCTCACTTGAGCATACTCACCCTGTTTGTCGCATTGTCTCTCTCGTTGTCCTCGAAGTCCTGAGTAGATCTAATCTGGTCTCCTACTAACAATTTCCCCTCTATTCTGGTGATTTTTTGATGGTGTTATGAGTTGCTGTATTATTGTTTCAATCTCTCTCTCTGTCTGAGGGAAACTCAGTGTCCAAGACTAACCGAATTTACACACTTTTCTGCAAATTTGTGGCGTTTACTCCATCAATCGCCCTCACAGGCACTAACCTTAAAGCTATCCAGTTGTTTTTATTTTTATCTCTAACTCCACCGATATTATTGCCTTTTGGTGTGCACTTGTATATTTCTCGCTCACATCTCTTGCAATGAAAATTTTCTGTGGTGATAAAAAAAAATTGTTAATAATTCTTCTGTTCTCTCCTCAAAATATCTACCACCTCTTCTGTCTTTGCCACCAAAACAAAAACTCTGTCCATTTTTGCCACACAATTTGGTGAAAATAACCGATGTGTAAAATGTCGATATGAAAAGGCCAAAGCCTATCACCAAGAGCTTGTTGAGGCGGATGCGAAACGCAACGCCCTGGCCCAGCACGGCAACCACCATCATCAGCCACACCACGAGACCTACAAAGAAGTGTCCAGTTGCGTCGATGATCAAGCTTCAACGGCATCCTCGTTAAAGTCACTTCTTATTCCGGTAGAAGTTTGATTTTTAGTTTTACTTTCAATTACTTTTACCTTTTGGGTGGTTTGGGGTGAGTCTCTGTCTCTAGAGAGGGTAGATTAGATACCTAGAGATTGGTCGAGAAAGGAGTAGAATAGTATCCTCTTAACTCCCGTTAACACTGCAAAGTGTGTCTTGAGAGTCATTATTATATTTCTTTTTGCTTTTGCCTTGAACGCCTCGATTCTCAAGAAGAAACTAAGCGTTTTTAATTATTCACAATTTTGTGTACAGGGTTACTCAAAAAATTCTTACCATTGCAATGTGATCTCAAAGATGTTGTCCAAGAATATCTGTTGAGCCTTAAAGTGAGTAATGCAACTGAAGAGGTGAAAATTAGTAATAGTGAATTACTGAAATGATTTGTGTACATAGTTTGTTAAGCTTATTTTGCCAAGGTTTTGCTAACGATCTACATATGTAACATATATTTTCAAACTTTGAGGTCTCATTGTGTTTTTTTGTTTTGTTTCGTTACTTCTGAAAATTTACTTTATTTTTGGTAAAATTTTTTGAGAAACACCCTTTCTATCTCAATAATCTTAACTATGGATTATTTGTTGACCATGCGCTTTACTCTTAATCTTCCTGATTATCGCGTGCAGAGCAACGAGTACATCCAGTCAGTTGGCCGCTGTCTGCAGATGATGCTACGCGTGGATGAGTATCGCTTCGCTTTCGTCTCTGTGGATGGAATTAGTACGATCATCAGCATCCTTTCGTCGCGCGTTAACTTTCAGGTGCAGTACCAGCTGGTCTTCTGCCTGTGGGTGCTCACGTTCAATCCGCTGCTCGCTGAGAAGATGAACAAGTTCAACATCATCCCAATCTTGGCAGACATTCTCAATGATTGCGCCAAAGAGAAGGTGACACGCATCATTCTGGCGGTGTTCAGGAATCTAATTGAGAAACCTGAGGACAGTCAGGTGTCGAAAGAACACTGCATCGCGATGGTGCAATGCAAGGTGCTGAAGCAATTGTCGATTCTGGAGCAGCGCCGCTTTGATGATGAGGATATTTCGTCGGATGTGGAGTTTCTCACGGAGAAACTGCAGAACTCTGTACAAGACTTGAGTTCGTTCGATGAGTATGCCACGGAGGTGAAGAGTGGACGGCTTGAGTGGTCGCCGGTGCATAAATCAGCAAAATTTTGGCGCGAAAACGCACAACGCCTCAACGAAAAGAACTACGAGCTGCTCCGTATTCTTGTGCATCTGCTGGAGACGGTCAAGGATCCTCTGGTGCTCTCCGTGGCCAGTTTCGACATTGGCGAGTATGTGAGGCACTATCCAAGAGGAAAACGGTAAGTTGTCTTCTTTATCGGTTTACTAGATTGTGTCTGTACTTAATTCTTGTGATCTTTAAAGAGTGATTGAACAATTGGGCGGAAAACAACTCGTGATGCAATTGCTGAGCCATGAGGATCCCAATGTGAGGTATGAGGCGCTATTGGCCGTGCAAAAGTTGATGGTGCACAATTGGGAGTACTTGGGCAAACAGCTGGAGAAGGACAAGGAGGGCGGAGGCTCTGCTGCAAAGCCTGGAGCTGCCCCGATTGCTGGAAAAGCCTAAAATGGTCCTTCTGTTAATTCGACGCAATTGAAATTGTAGTTTACATTCCTCTATTCAGTATAATTTCAATTGAGGCGAAAATATTAGTTTGAATGCATCAAGTATTAGTGTTGTAAATATTGAGCATGAATCCTAGTTGTGTCATTTGGTGGCTTGTTGACCTTAAATTTTGAGAGATATTACAGAAATATGATGATAAAAGCTGTAAAAATGAGATAATAAATTCGAAAGTACGAATTTCCATTCTTTATTTTATAAAATTGATAGGAAGCACATCAAATAACCCCAGAGTCTTACATATATAGAACAGCTTTTAGAAGTTTTAAACCACTTACAGCAATTTTTCTGGGCCTCTACTTTTGCTCTTGATTGTGTGAGTTCAATAGTAAAAAATCGACTAGAATTCTTATCGTATTTACTATTTACTTCTCAAACTTGCTTCGCCGAGTACCCCTCATTATTATTCATTACAGCCTTATGAAAAACGATCTTAGGTCTCTATAGCCTTCTGCAGGAGGTCCTGTGGTGTTTCGTCGTCGAAGATCACGTTGTAGAAGTATAGAGCAACGTAGTACAGGCATATTCCCATGATGATGTGTTTGCAGATTTTGTCAACCCACCACATTCTGCAAGAGAGCAAAAAAATCGTTAGAATGCATAAAATTAATTGACTGCATGACAGATCATTACATCCTCATGTGTCTTCTGGCTGCCGGAAGCGTGTCCTCAGCCTCATTGAGAATGTAAATTCGGGCGGCTTTGATGCAATTCTCAAAGTATGCCATCATATCGAGATCCTCAGCGTCGATCTTATACAATTCCTTCTCTTTTTTGTTTATCACCGTTCTCAAGTATTGTACATTGGAATTGTCAAAGTCCCACTGATTGTTGGCGTAGTATTCAAACACTTGGAAACCCTTAAGTATCCTCTTGTGAACCCTAATCAAACTGCAGAATAAGACTATTTATTAGCAAAGCATCTTTTGAAATCAGATTCAAACACTCACATCGGTTTATAGCCCAGACAGAAGAGAAGTGCATCGAGGAAGATCGCAGGGACGAAGTGGTAGAAAATCATGCAGAAATTGTGATACAGACGATTGTTCTTCATTGATCCTCCCGGATACCAGAGAACCCCATTCAGAGGGACCTTTGTCGTCACGATCTCTCTTCCCATCTCGATCACTTGATTCCAGGACACCTTGATTTCCGCCGAGCTGGTAACATTGTAGATTCTTCTCGAGCGATCACTGAGGAGAGAAAATATGCATCATAAAAAGGATTTTACTTTGGATTTTGTGAATTTTGTATTCACAAGCATCTTATTTACTTGTTCTCAATGAAATTCCATGTAGCCAAAAGCATACAATTGACAGCAATGTCCACAGGAAGGTAATCTCCATATCCATCACTGTCGCAATACATTGTCCTGATGACACCCTTTCCAGCGCCAATGAGAAGACCTATAAAAAATTGAAAGATCATTACTATGATACCTTGTCTATGAAGACAAAACGTTATTTATTACAGTAATTTCACCATTCATGCCATTAAGAAATATTTCTTTTTTATGTAAGAAAATGAATGAGTAGCCTTCTGTTTTGAGATTGAGTTTTGATATAAAACTATTTTAAAGAAGTTTTACTTCTTTTATTACAGGTACAAATCCAAAAGTAAAAAAAAAGAACTAAAGAATGAATGAATTTACAAAAAGTAAGATGTATTCTAAACTTTATAGAAACTGATGTCAATTTAATTCCCAAGAAAATAGTATATAAGGTATATATCGGAAAATACCGTCCAATATAAGACGTAAAAGTAATTATTAATTGAGAACTAATTCAAGACTAGAACGAATTTCGACCGTCACGGAAAATAAGCGAGGTTTTTGCAGATTGCTTCTCACCTGTTGGTCCATTGATGTTGTCGGTCCACCCGGGCAGAGGATCTTGATAGATCGGAATCACGATGGACGGTCTGAGGATCACGGAGGGTAAGTCGTCCATTGTTTCCACCACCAATCCTTCTCCCAGAGCCTTCGTGAAGGCATACGTGTTGGGCAGATTTCCGAGAATCTTGTCTGTCATCGCATCCACCACTGATTCGTCTAGCCATTCAACACAATTGATCACTTTGTGTGGATTTGCCGGAGGATCATAAGACTTCTCTAGCAGATGTTTCTCATGAAGGTGGCAATAAGCCGTCGAAACGTGGCAAAACATTGCCAAGTGCTTGCAGTCCTTTGCAAGCTGAATCATCAATTTTGTGCCTCTGGTGTTGAGAAGAATCGCCTTCTTCAGAGTTTCATCAAATCGAATTGTGGCTGCACAGTGATAAATAATCGACACCTCATCAATAAGCGTCTGGCGATCTTCTGAACTGATTCCTAGATCCGCGAGTGTAACATCACCCCCAATTACTTGACACTTATCCATGAGCATCTCCAATCCATGAGTCTCCTTCAGGCCATCAAAAAGCTGCAGAGGTGAAAATGAATGATCGAAGTTTACCTTCAGCATAACTTTCTAAAGTCATTTTAAAAATATTCATCAATAAAATAAAGGTCTTTGTGATAAAAACACACCACAAATGATCGAAAACGATCGTGTATTTATCAAATTTAAATTTTTAATGGCAAAAATAAAACCACCTTGAATATATTGTGCAAAAAAAGATTTCTAACGCAGAAGATATGGATAAATTTGACTCTGTCTCATTATGGTATTTCCCAAAAATAGTAATTTTTCAAAAAAGAAGTGACTAGTTACATAAAATCCCCCTAATTATGAGTTATTGTCTCGCATAATGACCAAATAGCGAGAAAAATTGAAGAATGTAACAGGTGGTGGTAAAAACGTTCCACGTCATTTGGACTTGGTTTTTTGTTCAATCATCATTATTGATTTATTCAATTATCACATATTTTCTCTAATTTTTGTAATTACCGTTAACTGTAATCGATATGTAAGTTAAACTACACTAAGCTGTTATGAAAAAAATATTACATGATTACAAATGTTCCTTTCAATCTTTTTAGTGTGAATTTATTGATCAAATTCCCCTGAAACACGAAACGATCAACTTTATAATAATTTTCCGGAGTATGCAAATTGAACGTAATTATTGCATGATATTCATTACATTTGGAATAAACAATGAAACAATTTGAAATGTAGTTTATTGGATTCATTACCATAAATATTTCCTACCGCACCGAGAAGAACCAGAACAACAAATAATAATTAATATTTAAACTCACTGGATTGCTGAAGATATCGAGAAGTCGCTGTTTGGGATCTTTTCCCTTCTTCGTGCGCATCAGCAGGAAGATCTTCTTGATGTCAGGACACACTCTCAGCAGCTTCTCAATCAGCACCTTTCCTAGGAATCCCGATCCGCCAGTGATGAATATCGCCCTTCCCACGAACGTTTGTGCCACACGATCCTCATTCATTTCGTCACAGCTCTTGAATGAAACACAGTCGCAAAGAAACATGTTGTATATTAACCGTTGTTAAACGATCGTTGATGGTGTTTTTGCCTCACGCTGTGCCAGACATGCGAAGAGAGCATTACATAATGTCTCGTATTGATAGTGAAAATCAGACATTCATAATGTTGCACAAGAAAGGTCACCTGAGTTGTTGAAATTGGACCGCATCTGGGATGAGTTGCTCTTTAAAATCACTCAGAATGATTTTCCACTGAGAGGAAAAGTTGGAGGTGAAATCCACATGTCTTGTGATATTTCTTTGATCATATTCTTTATGAAATCACTTAACAGAGGTCTAAGACAGCCAAAGTCTTTGCTCACATAAGAAAATGAAATTCATGTATTTAAGCAAATAGTTGCATTATCTTCTAGCTAGAACACGAATTATTTTTCTTTTTTTTTTGTTAAGTAAAAACTATGCCCACAAAATTTAATTCTTTTGCGAAAATCATCATTTATTCGCTTTTCATGAATATTTTACTTAAAGTTTTGCACACATTGTTGCATCCACGATGGTTGAAAAAGTATCTTCACAATGATGATGAAATGCATTGTGAGAAAACATAATAATTCTTGTTTTGCGCATTTCGTTTACATTCGTGTTGCACATTTCCACATGCAGCAGCCGATGGTAGATGGAAATTCCGGTCAAAAGAGCAAGACTTGTGGAGCTTATTGGAAAATTGTGCAAGAGCCATCGAAACGAGATTCCACGATACCAGCCAAAGTTGCTTGAGAATTGTGCCAATTTTGATGGCCTTGCAGACTCCAATTAATGACTTACTGAGAAGGAATTGCTCGCGTCGCTACAGATATTCAATGATCTCCTCAGTACTTTCAGTATGATTACGCAAAACTTAAGTCATTTCCTTCCTAGATGATATCATAAATAAGAGAGATGATCATTAAAAAACGTCACATCGTTACCGTTGAAATGTTGTTTTCGTATTCTCTCAAAGTCACTTAAGAGAGACAATAAGTATCGTGATTTTCCTAATTGCAAGTCTAAACTTGCAATGTAGAATTTCCACCAAAACAATGTCGTCACGGAAAAATCATGCAATTTAGGATCATTTCCGCTATCAATTGCTCAATGTGACACACTTTTTCACGTTTTTGCCATCCTTTCACTCTCTGTGCTGGGGTTATTTAATAAGTATTTTGCTACGTCTAATGTTGTCTTCAATGGTTTTGTTATTACGTGAACTTTCACTTTTTGCTCGGCTCTTTCTACACAACAACATGCCAACTTACAATTGAGACTTCTTGTATTTAGGCCAAATGCAGCGCACAAAGTATCCAAAGTGTTGCAAAATGATGAATGAATGCTCTTTGCTCTCGAAAAGTTGTCGACTACACGATCACTTTCAGAACTGATTTAATCCAGAAATTTGTTTTCTGCGAGTGCAATTGAGGAATTCGCGACCCTCTGTTGGACAATGAAACTGCCGATGAACTGATCGCTGTGGAGTCTCACTGAGCACTGATCATTGCACAGACGAATAGCTCGGCAGTCGCTAAACTAGCGGGGAGATTGTGATTCCTCACTGGTAGTATTTGGCGCGCAGGTAGATTTAGCAAACCTATGATTTATCTCACGTCACCGTGAAGTTGAATATTATGCAATTTACTCCCCACCATAAATCACCGTCCAATTAATCTCACGGGACAATTTATGCTGCCGCGCATGATTTCAAGTTCAATTTCCCCGGCAGCGTCGCTTTGCAGCGGTGATGGTGTTAATGGGACTTGAAAATTTTGGGCAGTCAGTTCAAGGTTCAAGCTCAACAGTTTAACCTCAGGTGGTGTGCGCTTAGGCAAGTCAATAGAATGCGTGGAAAGGTCTTGCTCAGACCGCTGAGAATCTAAACACAAAAAATTTATTTACGTGATTTCATATTCCCACGATTTAAAATGCCATCATATGTGATTAACTTTGGGGCGCACACTCACTTTAAAGAAAAACACATGAAACTATCATCAATTGTCTTTACCTCGCATTCGTCAGTCCAGGAAGTGCCTCTGGGTTTTGAAAGGCACTTAAGTGTGATTATTTTATTAATGGGAGACCTTTTGAATTCGATTTTTTAAATAATTTTCTTTGATTAAACATGTAAAATCAAATATTGGTTAATCAATTAGGCCCAAATCGTTCTTCTGTTTTAATGCCTTTCGGTGACGTTTGGAAGATTATTTATCAACTTGTAATATGATATTATTCTCAAACCAATTGTGATCTTGAGAGTTGAATAAAGTCACATCTATATCTATGTCCGTAGACAAATTAGCCATATTTATTATTAGCCTTCAAAGCAACAAGTTAGATTTGTCATAGGATTAAAGAATCACTACTTTTCACGAGAGAAATAGAGCGAAAATGCAGTTTTTCACGAAAGTTATGCAAAATGTCGTAAAATTTGTAATATTTTTCCTATATTTCAAGATCTAATCAATATAAATCATAGTTTAAATTCAACATTAATACGAAAATTACAAGAATATCCGGTCATTGCAGTTAGATAGCTACGCTCATTATTTTAAAGTGATTAAAACCACCTCAATCGCTGGGCCTGCGAACCTAAATTGCTTGAGGCGCTCTTTCCCAACACATCCATTATGATTTTTCTTCTTTTACTGCGACTCCATGGCTACATATGTACGTATATATGAATATACTCACTGAAGCGGATAATAATCAAGAATGACTATAGTCGATTGCATCCCATCACAAAATGTGTAACACCGAAAGACTTTTCTTTCGTCACTCCAGATTTTTATCATATATGTTTCAACCAACCTCTTTCCCACTACACATAAACTTTCGAAATCACACGTGAAAATTATTGTCTTAAGTCGCGGAGCGGGATTGTTTAGGCGCGATGAAAAAATTTTTTCCTCACCCGTCAGATGGTTTTTTTGCACTCTCTAATCTTCTTATTGATCCATGACCTCATTGAGTCATACACCTTTCGTCTGAAATGCTGCTATAGCTTCACATATGTGGAATTTTGTGGGTCATTTAACAATTTTCATGACACTTTTCACGCGTGGGAGGATATTATGCAAAGGAATCTAAACTATAACAGCAGTAAAAAAAAATGCTGATAGGACTGCGAAACAACCCCACATTGTCCATACACTCTTCGCTGGCTCCAAGTGGCGCGCATTTCCGAGTACGTTGCGTCGCCTTTGGCATCACACATCTACAGTCTTATGACACCCGTGATCATGCGAGATTCTCTACCCCATGAAATAATCAACCTTAAAATTGTGCAATTTAACACTTTAAACGATTCACCCCGTCTACGATGAAGAAATTCCAGAAAAGAGAAGATGAATTTTCGCTCTCACACACACGCTCATGCACCCAGCGAAGCTTTCTTGTTTCACGACTGTTCACACATTTCCAAGAAACCTCCACCACGCGCGGCCACTCTCTTTCACTCCCTCACCACATCATGATCTCCGTAGCATATCTACCTCGCCGCTGCACGCTCTGCAGTGTCGATATTGCGTCGTGCATCCTCTCTGCCACCAAACACTCCCTGCGCCAGTGTTTGGACGCCACATGATCGCTGGAGATTTTCAGGCGCTTTTAAAGAACCTTTTTTGGCGATTGTGTTTTTTTTTGACGCACCTTACTCTCACACACTGCGACTATTCCTTCGGTGGCTTCTTGGCCATCTTTTCACACACTAGCGCTTGATCTTATCCCCTTCTATTTTGCCATTTTAGGGCGGCATGAACTTTGAATTAGAGTGCGAACTAGAATCTCGCAAAATTCGACTTAAATGTTATTCCTTTTCTTTAATATTTTTATACGCTTGTTGTAGCTGAGGCAAAGGTCTTTCCAAAGATACCTGACTTATGTGGCCTCATGTCTTGAGCGGAGAGATATAGAGGGTCAAAGTTCTTACCTTTACCTTTTCTGTGCCAATGATGAAAGTTATGCTTAACCATGTATTTAAGCGAAATCAAAGATACCAAGTGTTGACGAATAAAAGGCTGCTTTCTTAAGTATGAGAAAAAGTGTTTATTTAATATTCCTATATACAAATTCAACTAAATGTCGATAAATCTGCAATAGATCTGTTGAGTGAATCTCAAACATCTACAGAATTTCTTCCCCGCAGAAAATTCATTTTCGCGAGATAAACTGCAAGAGGATCTCGCCTCTTGTTAAGAGTAAATCATGACCAAATTTGTAGTCGCTTCTGCAAAATAATTTATTTTGTAGACTCTTGTATATCATCTGCTTATCATATTTAATTAGCAATAACATTTTCGCTAACAGTAATTGGATAAAAAAAAATAGAAAAAACTCCCAATTTTCTGGTAGTTTTCTTCCATGCATTCTCAATCATTTCATAAAACTACTAATTTTAATATTCACAATCTCGTGGATATAATTTTACAATCGTACTTTGTCCCTATTTTCCATGCTTTTTTTTCATTTCCTTTTCAGAAGCTTATTCTGTGTATTTTTTCTGTCTTCAATCTTACAAGCTATTACATGTAAAGGAAACAAGAGGTAAATTCAAAATACATCTCCCTGCTTGCTCTCTCTGTCTCAATCATATATGTAATTACTGAGACGCTCCTTTATGTCAGAACCCAATTACATTGGGTACTTCATAGGCTTATCCTTATCCTTATCCTTCTTCTTTCCACCGGCAAACGGCCCAGCGAAAGACGACCCATCGGAAAAGTTCTCAATCTTGTCTTTGGAGATCTTGATCTTTAGTGAGGATGACGGCTTTTCCGGTATCAGTTCAACCGATGGCATGCTGTTGTCATATCCTATATGGCCGGCACTCAAGTCCGTCCGTATCCTGTCTCTCGGGATTTTGAGCTTCACTCCACTGTCGGTGCCGCCTTCCACAGATCCCTTGTCCCTCGGCGGCAGCGGCAAGAATTTGACGGTGACAGGCGCTTCCTCGCCTCCTTTCTGCTCATCATCTTTCGTCCTCTCCCGCTCTTTATCCTTCTTATGCTTCTTTCGCTCCTCGCGATCTTTGCTCTTATCCTTCTCCTTGTGTTTATGCTTGTCCTTCTTCTTCTTCTTCTCAGACTTGCTCTTGTGATGCAGCACGTCCCCGCCGGCCTCCAGAGCCATGTCGGCAACAACTTTCACCAGAGTCGCAGGCTGCGGCGCCCCACCAGCACACGGCATGCCCGCAATCTTTCCCTCAGCAGTCAAAGTGACACCCTCACACACTATCGGCCCCTCCATGCCGCCCTGCACCGCAGGATGCATGGACGGCTTTTCCTGACCACCGCCCGCTACCGTGCTCAATGCTGACCCGAACTTGTTCTCACTGAGACTCTCCTTGAGCAGACAACTCACCAGATCTGGATTCGTTTCGATGCTGTTAGCCAGTGATGGTGGAAACGTTTTGTTGCCCTTGTGCTGATCAAATGTCGTGTCGAAGGCATTAAAACTCCCTCCCAAATTCAAAGGATTCACCGATGACATGTTATCCATTTTCCCAGCTCGCGCACGCGATTCATTCTCCGCCTCTGAGCGACGCATCTTTGCCTCCCGGAAATCAATGCCACTATCCTCATGGCGGGTCATTTCGTCAAAGGATCGTTTCACACTGCTCGTCGCAGACTTGTACGGTGGTCCTCCAAATGATGAAGGATGCTTTGTCATAGGTTTAACAGTAGCCACCTTCTGAACGGGTGCCTTTACATCGGGCTTCTTCTCCTTCTTCATATCGCGTCGCTCATCAAATCGCATAGGCGGCGGCGCCTTCTTCACCACATCCACCTTCTCAGGCTGATCAGGACTAAAAATGGATTTCTGCGGATGCTTAGGAGACACAGATTCAGCCACATCTTTGTTCTGCAAAGCCTCCTCGATACCCTGATGTCCTAGCGAGTTTTTCGATTGGCTAAACGTCACCTCGGAGTGTTTGTGTGAATTCTGCCCATACCTCATACCCTGGGATAAGTTGGACGTGCTCGGATGTGTCCGAGTGGGATCACCAAAGTAGGGTTTCGATGATGACTGTGCGGAAGACAACAGGAAGGACTCTTTCTTTTGCTGATGATGCGGAAATGCGCCTGAATGATGAGGAAAGGAGGGTCGGCTCTTGCCCGACTCCCTCGAGAAGGCATCTCTTGGAGGCGGCAATACTCGATTGTGACTCGAGCTGCTCTGAATCGCACCACTTTTTCCCGCCATGCTGTTTTTCATAGAATTTTGTCCATCGCGTGGCGGTGCAATTAGACGGTCCCTCGACTTTCCCTGATGATGCATCTGATACTGCTGCTGACGAGATGACGAAGGCATCGCCGCCTTTGGATTATTAGGATCCACCGTCTGCTTGGCATGGTGATGCGAGTGCGACATAGAGGTTCTGTGGTGATTGGACGAACGCTCCTGACTTGATGATGATCCACTCTTGGGGCCATCATCGGTCTTTGCACTCTGGGCCAGTGTCTTGATGGAATTCAACTTGTTCTTCAGCCTCGATGGGCTCTTTTCATAGATTTGCAGAAACTCCTCAGTAAGTTGCGTCAGCAGCTCCTTTGTCACTGATTTGTCTACATAGTGAAACCACGGCAGACCCTCAGACGAATGAGGAATATCCCAATTTGACCATCGACAAGCCAGATGGATACAGAAGCATGCCACAACAGTTGGCTTGTACTGAAGACACATTGTTGTTAGGTGCAAACTGCAAAGAAAGCGCTTTGGGTAAGCGATCTTTTGCCTAATGAATCTCTAATGGCCCATCATTTACCTGTTGGACGCCATAAAGTAAGAAGTCTGGGCCAGATCTTTGCACGCTGTAAGGGATAGAGTGTCTGAGAATTGCTGTGAAATTCCTGAATTTCCTAAGGTGGTTCGACTCGTCTCACCTCTCACAAGGTGGCACGTCTTTACGACGTGTGTGTGGGGATGATCAATGGCCACATCGAAGCCCAATGTCTGGAGCAAGACATTCTCATTGAACACTAAGTCCTGCGCCTGCTCCGAGAAAGACTCTTTGGATGGATCGGGCGCCTCGATGTTGAGACATGTGAAGGCCACACGAATGACATGCTCGAGTTTTCGTGGCTGCTCCTCCACCTACAAAAAATTCACACACATCCCAGGGAGTCAGACAACCTTCCGGGAAGCGCTCAATCACACAAAAGCCTCACCTTTGCCGCCAGGAAGAGGCTCGCTGCGGCTATCCTGTGGCGATTGAAGTGGGAGAAAGAGTGAAATGCGTAGAAGCGGTGCATATAAACGATGGCGGTGTTTATACACAGCTGGGATCTGCAAAGAGAGATAAGAAAAATCATCATTATGTGAGAATCAATGTGAAGTTTGGTGTGAAGGCATTATCGAAAAATTTCACTCTCTCCGCATGATCGCAAAATTGCAGCTAAACCCTCTATAATAACTTAAATCGCTTTAAAACCGCCCCAGGAAGAATTTGAGACTGTTTTTGCACGCTCCCCGCTGCTGGAAAGGCTCTATTTTTGCATGTTTTGTTAATGCTTCCGGAGCTGTCAAAACATGTCCTCAATCGTCATATAGTCACATAACTCACACTCTCAGAGATTGCCCCATCTCCTGGATCAGGTATGCCGTCTGTTGGCGATACACAAGCTCCTTGTCCGCATCTATACCACATTTTCGGCTGGGGGAGTTCTGTAATTGTTCCGTCGTGAAGTACCATCGCGAATCTTTGTCAGCACTCTCGGCCATCACACTTTTACACCCCGTCAAAATGCGCGATGTGTGCAAGACAAATGGCACAACAGGCACTTTACACTTCACTCCCAGCCTTTCTGCACACACTCCTGCACCCCAAAATGTTTCTCAATGATTCCTGGTGCAGGGAAAATGTGGAAAAATGCAGCGCGACGCAGATTGTTTGTCACCACCACGATTGACACTGGACAGTTCGAAGAGACGCCATGTTTTCGAGCCTTTTTCGAACACAAAATCCCCAAACAACCCAGCTGAACATGCCAATTTCGGTTGAGGCCCTCAACTTTGGGCGTGTTTCGTCCGAATTTTCAAAGAATTTTCGCCACGAATCACGCAGAATGTTCATTCGTTGCCTCTTTCAGATTTCACGCCGACTTCGACGCGTATTAGACAATTGGCCATCACGAGAAAACGCCTCAAATTAATCGGATCACCCGCGTCGAACGATAGAACTACCTCAAGGCGGCGCTGTTGTGCCGAATTTCGATCTCCTGTACGATGTAGAGCTGCTCAGTCGGGTTAGTGGAGACAATCGAAAGGTTTCCAGCTGGCCAACACATAAAGTGCTGTTTTGTGAAAAAAAAGCTTGAAGATCGATTAAAATGGATGGACATAAGGCTGGAATTGAGCTTTTCCTTGTGCGGAATCACTTCTACCTGGGAAATTACCAGGAATGTATCAACCAAGTGCAAAAAGTTAAGGTAAATATGGCCAGATGAAATAATAACCTGAAAAATGTATGAGAAATTTTGAATAATTTGCAGACTCCATCCCAGGAAAAGGATATGTTCTTCTATCGCTCCTACATAGGACAGAAGCAGTACGGAATCGTGCTGGATGAGGTGAAGAAAGACAGCGAAATTTACCCCATCCGTTTAATTGCTGAGTACTTCACGCAAGTGGACAAAAGACCCGCCCTCGTCCAACAAGTTGATGATTACGTGGAGAAGAATCGTGGTACATTGGATCCGGCTTGGATAATCACTGCCGGCACCATTTACTTTCAAGAGGGCCTCTATGAGAACTATCTCAGCATCGCTGGTGAGGATTTGGAGTCCCTGGCGCTGAGCATTCAGTGTCTTTTGAAGTTAAATCGTGTGGATCTGGCTAAGAAGACCTATGAAACCATGCAAAAGACAGATGAAGATGCTACGCTGACACAACTGGCCCTCGCCTGGATCTTCATGGAAGTCGGCGGGGAAAAACTCCAAGACGCATTCTACATCTTCCAGGAGTTTTCAGACAAGTACTCTCCCACGGTTACTCTTCTCAACGGCCAGGCTGTGTGCCAGATTGGTCAAGGAAAATATGAGGATGCCGAGGCCACTCTTCGCGAGGCTCTTAATCGTGATCCGAACAACTACGATACCCTCATCAATCTTATATCTTTGGCGCAGCAGCAGGAGACTGGCTGGGAAATCCCGCAGCGCTATTTAACCCAGTTGCGAGAGAATTACCGGGAATCGCCCTACATTAAGGACTATACAAAAAAGGAGGCAGATTTCGACATACTTGCCTTGCAATACGCGCCCTCGAAACCCCTAAATTTGGAGGCATTCTGAAAATAAAGCTCACGAGTATTGTTGAAAATGTATTTTTCTCTTTCTTTCTCTGATCGTCTCACGAGGGAGTGTAAAAATGGTACAGCTTATACGATTGAAGCGGGAAACAGAAAACAGCACGATTAAAAAGGGCGTATGTCACGTCAGATGACCTTGAAGCCCAGTCCCTGGATGGCCATCAGAAGCATCCTGAGGCCACCACAAATGTGGCTTTGCGGATTAGCAGCGATGAACGACTGGCACTTCTGATAGAGTTCCTTCATCACACTCGGAGCGTGTTCCTTCGTAATGCTGTCCTTGATGTTCAGATTCATAACAGCTTCCGAGAGGTACCTATAAGGATTCCTAGATTAGTCGGCAATTCAGGAAAGATGCGAAAAGCTCTTACTTATGTTTAACGTCATTAAAACTACTCATATCGGCGGTAATTTGTTGGATAAGTGACAGCAACACTGTCTGTTCTAATGGGCAGGGATTGAAGACGGTTTTGTAGTCCGCTCTGTCAAGGACAAACTCCACTAGAGTCAAGTCATTAGCAATGAGCGCCTGATGGAAAGCCTTGTTGATCATCCCTTGACTCAGGAGGACTCTAATCTTCTCTTGCACATCGAAAATGCTTGGCGTCTGCGTCTGTGAGCGTACAACAGACAGCACAGAATCTTCCAAATTCGCCGTCTGCGCCTCGAAGCTCTTTTGCATCTGTAAAGAAAGAATAAATCACGTCAATTTACCAAACCAATTCTCTCTCATTTCATTCTCACCTCTGTCTTTACACACTCCTTTATCGTTTTTTGCAGGTTGATTTGCAGCGACTTAAAATCTTTGTTGAGATCATGAATAATCTGGGCAGTGCAACTGTTAATCATCTTATCATTTGACATATTCAGCTGGATGGAAATTCCCCTTAGCAATTTGTGCGTCTCCTCACTCTTGTCCTGAATCGGCTGTTGCTGCATTATAAACGCATCAAGTTGTTGCACGAACTTGGTGATTCCCAACGTGAAGGTATTGTTTATCTGGCGGAACATCTCTTGTGTGGACTTGTCAAAAGCAGGAACAAGAGTCTTTGTCAGAATCTCAGTGAATGTTGTTTGGAAAACACTCTGAACTCCTCTCAGAGACGATGCGGCAAAGGAGTCCACTATTGGCTTACTAGTGCACACCTTAGAGATGGTATCACGCAGTAAATGATCACTCTTCTGGCCAATCTCCACCACCATTGATTCTGCCTTGGTAGTAAGCACAGGCAAGAGTTGATGCTTCAACTCCATCAGCAGAACAACACTCAATTTCTCAGTAATTTGATTAACAAAAGCCTGATTGAAGGAGTGTAAGAGCGCTTCGTGAATCTCCCGGATTTCACTTGATCTGAAAGGGATAATAATAAAAAGAATGTCACTCCCAATATCTCATGATCTATTGAACATGTTGCACCTACCTCTCTGCTAGGAGACTCTCTACCTTGACCCCATGCTGCCTATCTACTCTCTGCAAATACTCTTCCAACATCTGCGTCAGATTCCCCTCGAGATTCTCAGACAGCATCTTGTAGTCAACACCATCGCCATTGATTTGTCTCTTCTTCAGATGTTCCAACTCACTCTCTAGCTCATCAATTTTACTCTTCTGTGCGTACATGAGTTCCATCATTCTGTCCAGCTTCATCTCAATACTCCTCGCCTTAGCATTTGTGTCCGTGAGAATTTCCGTGGGCATTTGAGTGATGTGCTGAATGTTGGGCACTTTTGGCCAATCACTCTTGCCATCCTTGTCTTCTGATGCCCCCAAATTGTCCTCCACATCTTCATCTCCCACTTCGGCGTCGTCAAAGTACTCACTGAGGCAATCGTTCTTATTCAGCGACAAGATCTTCTGCACTTCGCGACTAGGACTGGAGCCTCCGCTAGCGAGGATCTCTGCCTGGGGCGCTGTGGGTACAGGCAGATCGCGCAGGAATGAATGCCTTGGTTCGTCATCATTCACCAAGCTGAGAAGATTTTTCTGCTCTGGAGATGTAGTTGAAGCCGCCAACATCCTGATAGCCGACATCACATCCTCACTCACACCTTCTGGCACACTCTCCTTCTTTCCTGGTGAGTGGAAGGATTCCGGAGTCATCAGATTGAGCTGCGATGGTTGCTTGTGGCCAAATCCACTGCTCAAGTTGAGGGAATTTGATGGTTTTGGTGAGATTACAACAGTTGTGTCCTCCTCGGCTGCCTCATCCCGGACTACTTCATCCTCCGATCTGTCTTCTGCGACCAAGAGATCGAGCGTGCTGCCCAGCTGAGTATCCATTGACAGAGTAGGTTGGTATAGCACATGGCATTCCTGGACGCTTTTCGGTTGCACCAAGAACATGTGAATTACCACACAGTAGAGAGAATTATTTTCCTCATCATAATCATCCATCTCGTCAATTAAATACGCATCCGTCACACCACATTTATACTTCCTGAGCGCCGCATCGACGATCCCAAAGCTCAGAATCGGTGAAGATAGAGGAAACTCCGTGATAGACTTCACATAGGCAATTGTATTGACATTGGGCACGTCCTTCTTCGAGGATCCCTCACCATTCTCCTCGGATGTGGAGTCATCATCTCTGGTCATCTTGGCAATCTGGAGTGCGTACAGGCCGCGATTTACAGTGTCTGAAACCATGAGATAAGACGATGTCTTGTCAATCTCCGCCTTGAGGTGCAGCGAAAAGTCATTGGGCGCCTTGAAGGTCACAGTCTGGATGCAAGTCCATGTATCGCATCGCCACACTTTGAATTCCGTGTTGTTGTCAGCGCCTGTAATGGCGTGTTTCCAGAAAGTGTTGTTGCTGGTGAATTCCGTGTGGTTGTCCAGAAAGAAGAAGCTCGTGACCACTTTTCCGCCATGGGGCTTCCAATGGTGCAGACGCCTCGGGCTGGTATCCTTAAGGTGCAAGTAAATCTGATAGAAGTCAATGGAGCCATCGTCACTGCTCACACCCAGAGTCGTACCATCCGGTGAGAACATGGCGTACGTGATGGTCTTGGAGTTTTCCTGAAACTTGAGACTCCCATCAGAGATGTCGGCCGCTTCATGAATGCCCATCCCGTACGTATCCAGCACGGCATTGATGCTGTAGCACTGAAATTGTGTTCCGCGCGACCACACTAGCAACTGACTGGCGTACTCATCCACATCGTCCTTACTCTGTGGCACTGACGGACACCACGCAACCTTGTCGTACTTGCAGTCGTGTCCCACGAGGGTGTCTTGAATCTTCACCAGCAGCACTACGGCCAATTTGTCGGACAGCGTCTCAATGCGGTGAATGAAGAGCGAAGCGTCGTCGATGCATGCAAGAATGGTCTGTGTCTCGAGATAAGCAAACTGCAAGTCCAGCACTTCGCCGCCCATGCCCTTGATCAGTGCTCGCTGTCCACTCTGCTGATTTACCACACGCACCGCCCCCTCAGCTGTGCCCTGATTATTCAATTTGATGCTGTAGGCAATGTGGTGCCCATCAAGATGGATGGCTATAAGGCGCCCTGTGTAGTTCTTCACCTCCCACTTGTAGTCGACAATGTTCTTCAGCTTCACCTTCGAGCTGCCATGATCGTGCTTCCCCGAAAACCCCATCACAGTCACATCTTTGCCATGTGTCTCGAAGTACTGCTGCTTCTCGTTCGGTTTGATGACACTGCAAAAAGATTAGACAATTTGAGGGCTCCTCTTCCAGGCCGAAGCGCATTCAAACAACCCAAACTCACACTTGTGAGGTTATGTCGAGAGATTTTGCAATGCTGCTGTCATCCATATTTCAATGTTAAAATAACACAACAGTTACGAAAAAGGTCAGAAAATCTTATGCGCACTGGCTAAACCACTCGGTCTGCCACCAATTTACTATATTTTCAACACTGCAAGACCTCTTAAAACACCAAATTTTCACTAAAAACACTGTACTAAATATTCATCCGCTTCTGCGATCCGGCGACAGGAGAGCCAACTGAGCGGATCAGTCCCTCTGGCGATGGAAGTGATAAACAATTCCGAAAGAGGCACAGCTGTCAAGCAACAAAGCAAAAAAGTGTGAAAAATTAGGAGGAAGAGTCAAATTCCTGACCAAACGCTCTTCATTGAGGGGATTATATTGGCGTTCATCCCCTAGAAAATGTGTCATTCCTCTTGGTGGCAGTGAAAAAGTGCTTGTGATTTGTGTACATAGTGGGCTGAAAAGGAGGTCAACATGGATGCAAGTCAGCGGTCCAGGAATCTTACCTCAGCCGTAGTCAAGGTGCGAGGATTCTTCCAGTTTGAGACGTCCGTGAAATTCATCTGCCTCATCATTATCTGCGGCTACTGTCTGTCTTACTTCGAGACGGTGGCAGATGCCCTCATCATGATTCCGGGCTACTTCATGCCACCACTCATGAGAATCTGGACGGCTTTCACGTTTTGTTTTGTCGAGAAGCACTTCTGGGAAGTGCTGGTGGACATTGCCACTGTGGCTCTGTGTGGGAAGCTCATCGAGCCTTTGTGGGGCTCTCTGGAAATGATGACGTTCTTCGCTGTGACTAATTTCGGCGTGGTTATTCTCACAACCGCATACTACTTGTTTCTCTACGCCTGCACTAAGAATCCCCTGATTCTTTTCCATGTCCACATATACGGCCTGGCAGGGTACATAGCCGCTGTTTGTGTGGCTGTACATCAAATCATGCCCGATCATCTGATTGCTCGAACGCCCATGGGAAATTTCAGAAACAGAAACATCCCGCTCACGCTCTTCATGGTAGCAGTGCTACTGTGGCTGTTGGATCTCCTCGAGGGGAGATACCCCACAATGTTCCTGGCGGGCATCATTACCTCGTGGATTTACCTGAGATTTGTTCAGCGCCATCGGAACGGTTCTCGTGGTGACTATTCAGAGAACTTTGCATTTGTCCGGTGAGTTTCATGTTTACAAATATCTCTCTTCATTGTACTAACCTGCTCTGTTGTTACAGATTCTTCCCGAACCTTCTACAACCCTTCGTGGCAGCTGTGGTGAACCCCATCTACTACATTTTCCGTCGATTAGGCATCATACGGCACGTACCAGTACCCCAAGAGACGTCTAACACTCTACCGCTGAGCTCTGTCAGCATCTCAATGAGCGGAGTTGATCCCTATGACATGGAGAGAAGGCGCCAGATCGCCCTCAAGGCCTTGAACGAGCGCCTATCTAAGGCCACTGATTCTAGTCGTAGCAAAACCCTACCAAAATCCTTTCCACAGACAACGTTAAAGTCCAGCCCGGCCGTCTCCATCAGTATCCCCGCCACTACGTCAGCCAGTCAGGAGTCCCTCATCAAGTTCCCCTCTGACGAACAAAATAAAAATCAATTGCCTTAGTGTGAAGAAAGGTAATTTACTCTTCAGTATCGCTCCGTAGAGCATCAATAAGCTCCGTATTCTTCCTCACGATGTGCTCCATGTCCGTGTTGCAGGAGAAGAGCTGCTGAATGAGTGTGAAATAGAGTGTCCTGCCGTACAGCTTGTCCTCCATCCCATTGGAAGGTTTTTCCGGGGCGCCAGTCTCTGTGATCTCGTCAAGCTCATCAACGATGAAACACAGCTTCGAGCGAATCTTCTCCATCATCTCTCCAGAATGCGAGGCATCCTTGTCTAGAATTGCTGTCTGCAGATAAATTGTTTGAGACATTTTATACCAATCCGCCAGACACTCTGCCATGAGGCACAGCGCCGGTTTCACATCGGTGTTTAGTTGGCTCTTGACCCTTTTTCCTGTCTCGGTGATCTACAAAAAGAGAATAAATAGTTGAATTTTAATAGAGGTCCGTGTATGACAATTTGAAACCACGAATCTTCTGTTATCTATATTTTAGGACTAGCTTTGTCCAATGTACTTTTTCCCAATTATCATGATCAAAAACCTCACGCTTTCTTCATATTTCTTTTACTTGTCTTTCTCTCTTCCTCTTTCCTTTACTGCCAATATAGTTTTGGACTTGGAAATAAAAAACCAAGAAATAATAATCATAATGTCTCAACTTCCCAACTATTTTTCAATCTGAAATCATCTCTAAATGATCTTTATACGAAATGTGCTCAAAAATCCTTTGAATATACATTATCTACACAGCTCAGGAATCTAGCTGTTATTACCTAAATCAAGAGCTAAATGGTAATTACCTTTATCTTCTCAAGCGCATGGAACTGCTCATCGTTATAAGTGAGAGATCTCGTGGCTCTGTCTCTCAGCAGATGCTGCCACGACTCCCTCAGACGATCCACGAAGTGCTTCATCTTCTCATTGGCCCTCTGCTTGCATGGACACTTGATGTCACGTGTTGTGGCCATCCACTGACGCGTCAAATCGTCATCAGTGACGAAGCGATTGTGGAGCTGTCGTACGGGATCCACAAGAGACGCAAAGCTGGCGCGCACTGTTTTCAGTTCACTTGCAATTCGCACCACTTCCTCAGCAAGCCGTCTGTCGCATCCCTTCTTGGCCACCTGTGTCAGCCGTTGCACGGACGTGGTGAAGTACATATGTAGTTGCTCACCGTCTTCTAGACGCTGAACACGATCCAACAACTTGATAAGCTGTGTTCTGAGCATATTGATGAACTGCCGCACGCCGCACTTGATTAGTCTGTCCATCACAGAGAACATCTCTACGCGACGCTTGGCATCGTGACCCACACTGCAGGCCATTTTCGCCATGCTGGCATCATTCTCCACGGACACCGTGTTGGGAAATGAGGGAAACTTTGGCTGCTCCGTCTCCGGTGGGAATGTTACATTGTTGTTGTCAATGCTCAGGAGAAAGATCGGAATATCCTGACTGGTCTCTGGGTATCCACGAACAGATGTGTCAACACCAACTCTCTCCTCCAGGCATTGATTGTCAAGAAAGAGCAGCTGATTCTCTGACCGCACTTCAGTTTGTAGGCGAATGTGTTCCTTCAAGTTGAACAGAGGCTCATCCATGTTCATGAAGATCTTTATGGAGGACACACGATTCATAAAGAAGACGTGAAGCACTCTCTTGCTCAGGATATTGGTCACTTCGGCGAAGAAGCGATCAAACGACCACATCTTCTGCTGATTTTCCTCTAACAATCCAGCCAAAAGAGGCGTTACATAATATTTAAGACCTGTGCTGAGTTGACAGTGATTTGGTAACTCCCTAGACCACTCAATGGGGCCATTGTCCGAGGTCTGAGTGCCTGATATAACACCTGAAGCTTTCTTCGTAGTGATTAAATGCATCATTTCCTTATTTTTCCGTCCGCCAAACGGCCGAAAAGGCAGATTTCCCGTCGCAACGTGATACAGAGTCACGCCAATAGACCACAAATCCACATTTGCAGTAAAACTCCTCGTTACAGACTTCCGTAGCACTGCCCTCTCATACATGTCCGGATGAAGGTACTCTTCTGTACCATAGAGACTGACAAATTGCTGATTTTCCTGCAACTCTCGTGCCGCTCCGAAGTCCGTAAGCTTGAATATCGTTCGTCCATCTTCGGAGATGAATTTCATTATATTTCCGGGCTTCAAGTCACGATGAACGAGATTATTATCTCTTAAGTGCTTCATTCCAGCCGAGAGGTGCTCCAGTACCAGCAAAAAGTCTCCTTCTGGTAGGCCAAAAGTGTTCTCCGGATCATCGAGGATGTTAAATAGACTCCCACCAGTGCAGAGCTCCATAACAATAACCTTCCCGCGGCCCTCCTGGTCATCCTCTATGGCCAGCAACTTCACGATGTTCTCATGCTTGACCTTCCGCAAGACCTCGAACTCCCGCATTTGCACATCATGTGGACGCATGTGACTCAGCTGATTGAACGTCTTTACGGCCACCGGTTCCCCATTATGCTTGTTGACGCCCTGAAACAGTCAGAAAAAATGTCAGAGCAAATTTCAATTATTTACTCCTGCACACTTGAGGCCAAGCTCGAGACATTACAATTCAACTATTTGCTATGCCAAAAAGGTCCAACACTAAATCAGTATATCTACCGTCTTATCTCAATGATATCTCCTCTGAAGTGTGAAAATATCTTGGAAAATATGAAAGTCTGACTGTAGTATTTTTACTACACATTTTCTCACCTGAAACACAGCTCCTGTGGCCCCTTTCCCCAGTACACTCGTAGTGCACCACACGTAGTTTGTAGAACCACGTAAAAAGGACATTTTTCACGTTGATATCACAAAGAAAAAAACACTATTTACGACAAACTTCATCTAACAAAGCTGTGATGACTCCATTGTAAACTGTGTGGCCGTAGACCCCTGTACGAATTTTTCCGTCAGAATAATACGAAGAATTTTGCTGCGACATTCTGCGAAACTTTTTTCTTTCTTCACAACTTCACTTTTCTGGAGGCAAATGTTTAGGAGTTCATCTGTCTCTTCTTTATAACAAGAAATCTAATAATCACACCTAACGGAGAATAAACAAATAATGCGGAATATGGAAATATTTTATGTTGCTATAGTGGAAATAATCTTACGAAGATTCGGTCATATTTCCTAGCTATGCAATAGGGTACATGACGTCATGGTTTTTCGAACTTCACTGTCATCTGATTGTTGCCAAAATCCTCTGAGTTTTATTGTTTTTCCAGACATTTTCCCGTAGTCTGAGTTCTTTTTACAAGAAAAGTGAGAGATGGAGAAGCGTGTGTCCAATGTGTACACGTCCTCAAAGGTGGGGAGTTCAAATTCCGTGGATTCTGACTATTCCAAGTCTTCCTCGCTAAATTCAAAGCAAGAGACACTGGTAAGGACTTTTACGGACTTCCTATATCAATATGATTAGCACGAGTGTTTTGCTCACAAGGTGAACAATGAGACCAGCTTCGTCCTGCTGCCGGGCGAGAAGCGACATGATCTGAAAACGGATGTGACGTACGTTTGCCCATACAACGGGCTTTCGAAGGGACTACTGACCATCACAAACTACCGTCTGCACTTCCGGTCGCAACCGGCATCAGACAAGGAAATTGCCTTCGTTCTGGACGTACCGTTAGGGGTGGTGTCGCGTGTGGAGAAGGTGGGTGGCGCTAGTTCCCGGGGTGAGAACTCCTATGGCATCGACATTTTCTGCAAGGACATGAGAAATCTCCGTTTCGCACACAAGCAAGAGAACCACAGCCGACGCACGGTGTTCGAGAAGTTGCAAATGTTCGCCTTCCCATTGGCCTATAACGAGCGCTTGTTTGCATTTTTCTACTCAGAGGCTTTTCCGGAGGACGGTTGGACAGTTTACGAGCCCGTTGCGGAACTGAAGCGCCTCTGCGTGAACAGTGACACGTGGCGTATAACGCGGATCAACGACGGCTATGAGATTTGCGACAGTTACCCGGCAGTGTGGGTGGTACCGAACAATGCTCCCGATGAGCTGCTGAAGCAGGTCGCCAGCTTCCGCTCAAGGAATCGTCTGCCCGTGCTGTCGTGGATTCATCCACAATCGCACGCCACTATCACGCGGTGCTCGCAGCCTCTTGTAGGCGTCTCCGGGAAGCGCAGCAGTGACGACGAGAAATACATCAATCTGATCATGGAGGCGAACGCACGTTCAGATAAATTGTCCATCATGGATGCGCGTCCGAGTGCAAACGCTATCGCCAACAAGGCCAAAGGGGGTGGATATGAGTCCGAAGATGCATACCAGAATGTGGAGCTCATCTTCTTGGACATCCACAACATCCACGTGATGCGCGAAAGTCTGCGCAAGCTGAAGGAGATCTGTTTTCCTGCAACGGACGACAAAAAGTGGCTCTCGTCGGTTGAAAGCAGCCTCTGGCTCAAGTACATAAAATGTGTGTTGAGCGGAGCAGTTCGAATTGTGGACAAGATCGAAAACATGAGCACATCCGTGGTGGTGCACTGTTCAGACGGGTGGGATAGAACGTCGCAGCTCACAGCGCTGGCGATGCTTCTTCTAGACCCTTACTATCGCACCCTCAAAGGCTTTGAGGTGCTCATCGAGAAGGAATGGCTTAGCTTTGGGCACAAGTTCCAGCAACGCATCGGACACGGCGACAGCCACCACTCCGATGCCGACAGATCGCCCGTCTTCCTGCAGTTCATCGACTGCGTGTGGCAGGTGACGAAGCAGTATCCGAACGCTTTTGAGTTCAACGAACACTTCCTTATCACCATCCTTGATCACCTGTATTCTTGCCGCTTTGGCACATTCCTCTGCAACACTGAACGCGAGCGCGTGCAGGAGGAATTGAAACGCAAAACGTTGTCTCTGTGGTCGTTCATAAACTCCTCACCAGAACAGTATCGCAATCCGCTGTACGGCGACTTTTCGACGGTTGTACAGACTGTTCTGAAGCCAGTGGCCAGCTCGAGATACATCCGCCTTTGGAAGGGTCTCTACTGCCGCTGGAATCCTAGTATGCGGGCTCAGGATCCCATCTACCAACGCACCAGAGAGCTTCTAGTACTCCAAGAGCAGCTACAGCGCCAAGTAGACGATTGCCGTTTCGACTCCAATAACAAGCCCAATTATCAGCACACTAGACTTGCCTCGCCACTCCACTAAACCCCAGAGGAGAAATTTCTTATTTCCATTAAACTAAAATAAAAGAAACAACACACATTTCGAAAAGAACACTTTTTGTATATGAAAATCATAAAAATTAAAATAGCATTGAACTGTCTAGAAAAGATTCGCAGTAATTTCTATTAAAGAAAGGATACGGATGCTACAGAGATTCTAATTCTCATCGTTCTCATCAGCTTCTCGGTATTTTATCTAAAATTCATAGAACTGTTGAGTTTTTAATCGCAAGGTCTTTTTGGTAGTCTGGCTAAGTGCTTTTGCGCAACAAGTGCTTAATGTAGTGTATAAAACTATAATGTAGTGTATGTGTTGTGGCCCCCATGCTATCCATTGCTGGTCGTACTCGATTCGCTTGACTTCCTGATCGAACGAGTGCCATTATACGTTCAATGTGCTGGATGGCCGTTGACGGGATTCAAGTAGGCGCTGGATTTCAAATATTTCAAAAGTGAGGTTAGGTGCATTGTTTTGACTTTTCATCTGAGTGATATTTATGCATTTTCACTTTTATTGCTGCTTCTGCATAGGTGCACACATCGCATAATGAACAAAGGTGCAACAATGGGTAAGTGAAAGACATGCTTAGTGGATTTCAATCACTCTCACTCTTCATGATTAACATGAAAAACAATGTTTTTCAGATTCCGTGAAGCAGAATGTCGGTCAGGACATGTCAACAAGGAAGGCCCTCTTCCTTCTTATCACCGTCTTCGTCAGCAGTGTCGTAGCAATGTTCTACGTGTATCTCAAGTTTCCTGATCTCAATGAGTGAGTCTAGAGAGCTTTGAAAACTCTTCCGAGAGACTTATTTGTGTGTTTCTTCAAGGTCTGAGAGGCACCATTTGCGAATCCCCTTTGATATTGAGGATGCCAAGCAATTGGGACTTGTGCTGGATCGTTACAAAGATCTTTACTACTTCGAGGTGATGTTCGGGATTATCTTGGTATACATTTTTCTACAGACATTCGCCATACCAGGATCGCTCTTCCTATCTATTCTCAGCGGGTTCCTGTTCAACTTTCCGACCGCATTGCTGCTGGTGTGCTTCTGCTCTTCGCTAGGCGCCACACTGTGCTACCTGCTGTCCCAGCTGGCAGGCAGAAGATTGGTGAGACGATTCTTGCCCGAAAAAGCTGCTTCATGGTCACAGCAAATCGAGAAGCACCGCGATAACTTGCTCAGTTACATGCTCTTTCTACGCATGACGCCCTTCCTGCCCAATTGGTTCATCAATCTTGTGGCACCTGTGATAGGTGTTCCACTGTTCCCCTTCGCTTTCGGCACGTTCCTGGGCGTCGCTCCGCCATCTATGATCGCCATCCAGGCAGGGAAAACACTCCATACGATGACCAGCTCTAGGGATGCTTTTTCATGGACGTCCATGTGCATTTTGGCGCTATTCGCCGTGCTCTCACTTGTTCCCGTGCTTCTAAAGAGGCAATTGCAAGCAAAGATCAAGTAATTTTAACGTCGCGGAGGGAATCCCAAAATCCACACCAAATGAGTTTAGTCAAATTGGCCAATTAGAAGGAAAGACGGATGGGCTTTGTTCATTTAATATTGGAGAATATATCTATATATATGTATATATATATATTGAGTTTTTGACGATGTGATGTAAAATGTGCTTTGGAGTCGTGAGACCAGATGTGGCGATCATGATTGAGCTAGGAAGGTGATCCCCGTGACTAGTTAGCAGTAAGAGCCCACGTAGGCGATCGACGGAGCCGTCGTGAACTCGTCTGGAACAGAAATTGGCCGCCAATACCACCAGTCGTAAATCACTGAAAATTGAGAGGCGGTTAGTATTCATCATTTACAGTTCAGGGTTAAAGAAAAGGAGAAATACTAACGCACGTACGACGTGGGCAGTCTTACAGAGAGCGTGCGGCACTTTGAACGGCACTCCGACGTCGGGCGGAGAATGATAGTGCGCGATCCAGCAGCCTGAATGACGAACACATTCGAGCACTCCATGTCCGGCAGGCGGTACGGATTGGCGGCCGGAGTGTCGACCAGGAGGAAGCGCTCGAGCGCCATACCCGTCTTTGGTAGTCGCTGAGGACACGGGAAGAGGCCGCGCAACAGACGGGCGGGGTGCATTCGGTTGCAACGCCACACGTTGTGGCTTTCCGCCTGGAGTGTGGTGTTGAGGAAGTCATTCGCCAGGTCCATCACATTGCGAATATTGTGGTTGGACGAGTACACGCGGAAGGCATCCCGCCGAAAGGTGGCCTTGTTGGCCAGGATGATATCGTAAATTTTCGCCATGCTGACTAATGTTTGGGAGGTTTTAAACATAAAGGGCTCCCCGGAATGGCTAATATCATTGTAATTGGTGAGGTCCAGCACGTTAGTAGCTTCTGAGCAAGGCTTGCAGTCTATATCCTGGACCTGGAACAGCGGATTGCCAAACAAGCACGCTTCATCGTAGAGTTCTGTAAGAAAGGCGCATCTTATAATTCTCAGGAAAATGTGTCCGGGAGTGCACTTACCTGTAAGCATTGGGTATTGCGTAATGATTGGCAGCGTGAGCTTCCGCCAGAATTTCATTCCGGGATAAATGTGTGTTTGGATGTGGCGCAGGAACAAGCTAGAGGCTTCATGCTTGTATGACAGGCAAGTGTACGCCACCAACAGACTGAATATCCACCAGACAATCTGTCGTTTTCTGTCCAGCACAGATTTTATCAGCAGATTTGTGCTGTACACGTAGCTGGGAAAGGTGTAGCTATTGAGATGAGTTGATAGGAAGTTTGAGAACTCCACATCCGTCCTGTCTCTGACCACATTCCTCAGTCTATTGACGTTCTCGATGTACTTGCAAATGATTTGGTATTTTGTCATGTTATCAAAGTTTGTGTTCAGATCTGCCATTATCACCCACTACTCCATACAAGTAAATACGGGAAAGATTGAAAATATGCACGGGAAATGCAGAGAAAACTCCACACACGGATAAACTTTTTCTTGCTTATCTGTCAGGTCACAGCAAAATTCGAATCATACGAATGCGACTTAGCTAAATTCGAACTTGAGTCAAGGAGTCTGCACTGAATGTGTGTCTATGGTGAGATTTTTGGAAAATGCTACTAGATGGCGTATGGAAAGCTGCTTTGTAATTTTCACCTGATTTTGAGATCCTTTAACACCGTGTTAATACCACCTATTCCATGTTTTTTACATTACATCGAGCAATGGTCGTCCAAAAATACTTGTCCAGAGTAATAAAAAATGCTCTAAAATCCATAAAACAGCAGAAAGAATAATTTTGTTTCCTTGAAGGATTTGATAACTACTGCTGCTTTCGCCCGATGGCGCTGCCGCTGCATTAATAAAAACATTTCGCAACTTTAAAATCAACGGTTTCATAATTTTTTATAAAAATTTTATTCCTTTCAAATATATAACAATATCTTGCAACAATTAAGCTACTATCAAAATATAGCAGTGCCAAACGACGCTTGAGAAGACACAAATATAAGTAAAACAGCAATAAATATTTGATGAAATTATTTCTTGTTATTTTGCATTTATTTGAAAGTCAATTTTTGAACTAAGAATACATAAGAGATAGCAGGCTTTTCATATTTAATTATATTCAAGAATAAAGCAAAACCAATCCATAATATCTAAAAACGTAGAGCGTCCAGAAGAAGCTTTTTCTTATTAGGCAAATCAAAGAAAACCTTATCTGTAATAGAAATAAAATTATGATTGTTTTAATCACTAATCTCTGGTGATGTCTATCATAGAAAGAGCTAAAGGCTCACCATCCGAAGAAGAAGTCCATTGCCTTGTTGACGATGCTGCTAGTGCGTTTGGGTGTTGTGAGATTGGGCACGATGTCGATTGGGCTGTGGGCGTTCTTATAAGCGATGTGCGCAAGGGGACGCTCGCGACTGTATCCGTTCTCGAGGATTGATTGATGCTCTCTAGTCAGTAGATCAGGATCTCGGCACTGCGTGACGCCAATCATTAGACTCCCGGCGATGATCTTCTCGTTGAAGTTGATGGCACGGTTGCATTCGAGTCGAGACGTAAACTTGAGATGCACCCAGTTTCCGGCTTGAGGTGGAAACGATTTGTCCACGATCGTTCCGCATTGCGAGAAGTGATTGAGCACCATCGATAGGGCGCTCGGAGGGAAGCCAAATACCGTCACCCAGAAATCACACTGCTTGTCCAGGCTCAGGACGCTCCGACTCGCATCCAGATAATCACAGCTCGTTCCCGGCGATTGTAGTCTGGACAAATTCATTCCACTCGCATTCAGAGCAAAACTATCGTTAATAGAATGGTTCATCGTCTGGTTTCTCAATGAGTGCTGGAGGAGGCCTTCAAATGTGGGCGTGGGACTTTGTGGAATTGCATTCTTCTCCTCTCGCAAGGAATCAAAGAGTCCTTGTGTCGGGGGTCCGGAAACTCCTGCATTTGCCTTTTGACTACCAAACAAACTTCCTGTGGGCGTTGGACTCTCATTGTTGAACAAATTTCGCAGCGGTTGCGCCCGTCCAAGATCCGGACTAGTAGGAACGATAGGAGATGGAGCCCCAAAAGCAAGGGTACGACTCTGGGCCGGGGAAAGTGTGGTGTTTCTCGGTGAGGAAGGCATGTGTTGCTCCCCAATGAGAAAGGCTGGCAAGTATCCACTGCCTGGAGTCATCACACCTGCTGCCGGACTGCCCGCGGGGCTTCCAAGCGTCATTGGTTCCATTTGTACTCTTAAATCCACTCAGAAGTGAGGTTAGAAAATTACTTCTGATCCCTACTTTGATCTCTGCAAATGATACACACTCAATTTCACAAGTTTTGCAGATACCTCAGTTAATCGATTGTCTGGCCAGAATGCTTTGATGCAGGAAAGGAGAGCACAGGTGAAAAAAGAGTAGTTCACGGAGAGTAATCAAAACCATCAGAACAAATCAAATGACAAATTAACGCATCACACCCTGTAAAATTGTAGGCACCGCGTTTCGAAATTATCAGACAATTTACAGGACAAGACGATATTTTCTGATTTGTTATGGGAGGTCTTTTATTCTAAAATAACTTGTTAGCTGATTATGTCCAATGAATATTTTATGTATTAGGAAAAAATAACAAATTAATCGGGAGTTTTATAATTTAGAAATTGGGAATTTCTCTCACCTTTTTTAAACTTGTTTAGAATCTCATCGGCAGCGAGTTTGGCCGCAAGGCACAAAGTTGTATCAATTAGTGAGCCAATAAGACTTGCAATAATACCTCTGATTAATTACGCAGATTTCTTATTTTTGATATAAGACTTCAAAAAGAAATTGAAAGAATTGATTACTGTGAAATATTGACTATGTCTGAGGACGTCTCCACTGAAATTCCAGTTTGTATAATTTCCTGACTATTTTTTATCGTGCTCGCGCCAATTTTTGTTCACCCCATCTTGTCAGATGGCGCCAAATGTGATCAAAAGCCGTTGAGCCCCCGTCGCAACAAGTTCTCGCGTGGTTTCTTGAAGGAGTTTGCATGAAATTCAGCCGGGTTCTGCACATTTTCCTCGTCTGCAATTTTCTCCTTAAAATGGGTGAGTTAAATACAATTTTTTGCTATTTGGCGCTTTTCATGCCATGTTTCCGCCGCAGAATTTCCTTGTATTCGCCGTCAGTGCCTGAGACGAAAAGTTGATGCAACGGAAAGTGACCATGTGATCATCCATCGTGACACCGGAAGAAAATTTTCGCGCATCTACAGCAATTTTGTATGCTCAATACGCATGGCCAGGCACCACAGAGTCAGTCAGGAGTTATCCGTAGGTGGTAGTCGGGAAATCTTCCCCAAAATAGTACTGCTCATCTGCCTTCACTTGGACCGGAAAATGTCCCTCGTTCCGCAAGTTCGCCACATGCTGCCTGCCTTGACCTGACCAAGGCACACAGCAGCCAACAAACACATTCCGGATCCCATGAGCTCATGCAAATAAAGCCCTTCGAGATAAATCACGCGGAGACAAGCGTACACATTTTCTAGAGAACTTTTGCCTGTTTATCAATCTTCTGAGATTATTTACATTATTTGTATAATCTTTCCCTAAACTTATGTACGGCGTTTCAAATAAATATAGACATATCTTTTCGGTTATGTACACAACGCGCTATTATCAATTTGACTAACATATCGCTTATTTACAAAATCCACATCTCCTGGCCAGAGAGAAAGAGAGAAATTAAAAGAATGACAGAGATTGCCAAATTGACCAACCGTGTCTGCTAAAATAGATAAAAATATGTTCCATTTCTATTGAATTAAAATAAATAATGGCCCGAAACATATGGCCAAAAATTTGTCCGGACATATCATCTCTCTTCTTGTGACTCTTACTTGATCTTTGAGCTTTTGCGAGATCTCTGGGGGAATACCAGAGATTATCAAGTCACGACATTTGTCTCAATTCGTCGATGTTGTAGCTTGAAGACGAGCAGCTTCAATTGTTCTCATTTCCACCTAATACTGATTGCCGGTCGGTTGCTAGAGACACGCGTTTGAGGGGCGCTTTAGAACTCCGCATGCCTCAGACGAAGAGCAGTTTATTTGTCGTGGAGGTGTTATTGTTGAGCAGCAGATTTGTTGTCTTTATCCCATTCGAATATATCTCTCCGTTGCCATAGAAGTTGTTTGTCGTCGGCAATTTACTGTAGTTCCATTGCTGATTAGTGAATGGCAAAACTGGCGGTTTCGTGTCCACGTGCCTGGACAAATACTTGGCCTATAAATCAGAGAAAAACAGCGAGAGAAAGCATTATTACCATGGCAAATAAGACAAGCGCATAACTACAGACTCTTACCCGATTATATCCAAGCACGCCAAGGATAGCCAGCACCATTCCAAACACATTCATCCATGTTACCGGATTGCCCAGGATCAGCAAACTCACACCTATGACGAAGATCCTCTTTGAGGCACTCGCGACAGCATACGTTAGCGGCGTCACGAGTGAGAGAACGCTGAAGGCTATGATGTTCTGCAGCCAATTCAGAACACCATCCGTAAAGAGCAGCGCAAGAACGGTGTAATTGCGCGTCAGTACTGTTGGATGGGCGATTACGCTAAAGAAGTCCATGTAGAACCACACTGGGAGGAACATGAAGAGTGCTAGACGCCCAAGGATATGTAGGAGCCTTAAATGATGGACTCCAGTGTCTTTGAGCACCTGCAAAATACATCTCCTTTAAAGGAAAAATCTAACGAATATATTGAAAAGACGAATTCTAAATAGAAGGAATAGAAATTAGCATATTCGTATCCACTAAATGCCAAGAATTCGAGAAACTGCATTCGTTACTAAACCCCTTGAATCTAGACACATAAAATTTCGCGATAAGGCAAATGCTAATAGAGTGGAAATTAAGTAGGAAATGTTAGTAGTCTTGTGCCTCAACCCAGGGGAAAAATTAATGATGCATGAAAACAATTTGTAGATAACATACGGACAAAAATTATTCTGTAAGAGAATTTTTAAATTTTATCCGTTTTACGAGGAGATAACAAATATTTACTTTGCTGTAATCTGAACAGTGCATATTAATCCCGATATCTCTCGACTATTCGAGAGGTACTCAGACATTTCCCAAAATTTTTGGAACATTCCTGAACTTTGCCGTCTTGGCATGCGTTAAAGAAAAGCCTCCAGAATCCTTGTTGAGGTTATGTTCACCCCCGTTACAAAACTCACTTTTTTTGAGAATATGTTCTGCAATGAGAATCCCATGGTGGACAGGAGGGCGCAGATGAGGCCAATCTTGTCGAAGGATAGCTCAGTCACTGTGGCAATGCCCACACCAGTGATAATTGGCACGAGACTCAGGTAAACGAGCGTCGTGTGCCGCTCTTTTAGAATTATCCTAGACAGGATGACGGTGAAAAGAGGCATTGTGGCCTTCACTGCAAGTACGATAGATAAAATAATCAAAAATTATCTTATCAAATACGGTAAATCTTATGTTTTGATTGAGTATTTTGGGAAAGTCCACAAAATTGTTTATTGGTGGCGCCACAACTGTTCATCTCGCTCACTCTTTCGGAAGTAATATAGGTTTCGCTCAATCATACAGATGGCACACACATTTCACCAAGCATTTCTCTGACACTTTCCTCCAAAAGATTGAGCAAATTTTTTATGTGCGTCCGGAAAGGCGAATGATGGTGCCACGCAATCTGATATGCTCACCTGTGTGCGCATAGGAGACGGGTACTTTCCATATGCTGATGTGAGAGGACACGGAGGCAAGGAACTTGCCTAGGGCCAGCGGGATGATTATCTTGGCATAATAACGCCAAGACATATCGGCATACTTCCGGACTCCCCACAGATTGAAGAAGGGTCCACTGTACACAGTTATACTGAGCAGTTGTACCATTGTGACGGTTGTGGGAAAGGGAAATTCACTGAGGACAAGCTTTCCGATCACATTATTGGATGAGGATACGATATACCACAGCAGACAGAGCAGGAATATCGTGGCCCATTGGCGCTGCTCCTTGCGCTCTGACATTGCTAAACAAACACACTATCACAATCGCCCCGCACCTCCAATTTTCCTGTTTTTTTTCCTGGTTTTTCACATTAAAAATGCCACGACAATTCCAGGCCACGGGCGCCCTCTACAGTCATCAGCGCAGCTATCGAGCGATACTTGTACTTCGCATGTGATTTCCCTCGTAAAATTTAACCCCTTTTCTTAACTGTTCTGTACAAGCTCCAAATGGGTTGCACACGGAAAGCATAGAAAGTGTATTTGAAATAATTTCATTATATTTTAGCTATGAAGCACAATTTACTACAAAATTACTGGGAAATAGATTTGAGGTTAGGGAGAATGGCTGGAATTTTACCAAAATCATTAGAAAACGGGGGCATTCATGATAAATAGACTGGCTTCCTCTTTCTTGATCCATTTGAGAAGCTTATTCACCAATGTTATCATTGCATTTCTGTCCACAAGTGGCTCAAATGTCACATATAGTTCGTATCCGGAAGTTACCCATGCCAGCATGATTTCGTGCTCCTTCATGTCATAGAGCAGTTTCAGCGGCCGACTGGGGTTGTGAACACGACTGTGGATACTGCAGTAGAGTGCCTCCAAGCGTCTGAACTCACTCAGAGAATTGTAGGGCACGCAAATCTTGGAGCAAAGAAGTTGCGCATTGGATTTACATTTGTAGATGAAGTGACGAATCTCAGGGATACCAATGTTTCGCAGGCTGATCCCGGGGTTATTCATCGCCTCATTAATGGCTTCCAGGCAGTTGGAGCGACGTAGTTTGTCGGTGATGCGCTTCTTTGCCTCGGAGAGCGTGAAGAAAACATCACGCTCGACGCTGAGGAGGAGCAGGCAGGCTTCACAGTCGTCTGCCAGATAAGATACATGAGCGTGTAGATAACCGTTGGAATCAAACTTAGGCAGACAAATAGGTGTCCAACTCTCGGCGGGTTTGAAGCTCTCAGAGCACTCAATCAGGTTAAAGATGAGCCTCAAATCAGCTGGATGAATGAAATATTTCTTCATGCGAATCAGACAGATGAGCTTGTTCTGAGCAATAAGAACTGCAAAGACTAGATTCTTGATTTTGGAGCAGTTGCTCTGAATGGCGCTCGTAATACTGTCACGGATGCTAGAGCTGAGAGGCAGAATGCGCACAGAATTGGTAAGAAAACTAAAGGTGTTGTTGGACACTTGATCATTTCCGCAGCTGTTGGCCAGCAGATGATTGATTAGGCGCTCACTGCCACCCAAGAGTCGTCTTAAATCGAAATTCTTCCTTTTTTCGTAAATCTTATTCATATAGGAGAGCGTCAGGATACTCAGAATTTGATTGTAAACGTCTCTGTGATGGAAGAAAGATATGAAAATCTTCCGGATTGTATAATAAATGGAAAATACTCACGAAAGTTGCATCTGAATCAGCTGAACGTAAGTGTTTGACCGCGAAACAGCAACAAGGATCAGTGGATTCTTCACCAGGAATACAAAAGTCGTTCCTTCAGTGTGAATTGATTTGATGGAATCCTGATTTGACTGCACAACACTCACAAGCGCTTGCATCACACCGAAAAGGGATGCCAATTTGTCCTCACTACCATGCAGGGAGTAGATTGGCTTTCCGGCTGTACTTAAGATGAATACGTGTCGCTTCTGACCCAGCCATTCAGCGTCCTGAAACTGTTCTTCCGCCTCCTGTTGCGGATTGCTTTGTACACTGCAAAATGAGTCACTTTTAGTCATCGCGCACGCTTCATTTGATGACTGTCTCTCTTCCAGGTCTGCTTCTATCTGGCCGATGGCACCAGAGCTAGAGGTCATCTCCTGAGACAGTTCCTCGAAGGAATCCGTAGTAATCAGCATGCTCTCCATGGAGGCGCCTGGCTCACAGGCCGTGTCCACATTATTGCTCATTGTTGCCTCAGATGATATCTTATCACTCACAGAACGCCTCAAAGCATGAACGAACCAGAAATTCCATGAGAAATTGTCACACTGAAATACTGTAAACACACGTCCAGTCACAGCTGATGGGGTATTCTGGGAATCTAATTCCGATTTCGGTCCGACGATTGACAGCTTTACGGACAACCCGACTGACTGCCTCCCGCCACCTATCCGATTTCATCAATTTTTTTTCCACTTTTTATGTTTCCTATTGATCTTAGATTTATGTTCTGGCCATGCCGGCGTAAACTGCCACAAGTTTGTAGATGTGCTGCCCAATTCTAAATTATCCACAAAAGCTGATAATGTGCAAGAAAGGTGAATATGAATCTGCAATTCCCAGTTCCCAACTGTCCCAACTAAACCAGTCCGGCGGGACGAGCGAATTTTAAGCGACGGGACAGTTGGGCTGTTGATTTTCCGGAGTAGTGCTGACAGCGCCTTCTTTTGGTTGCTTGAGGTATTGCCCAATCTGTCAAATAGTTGCCGGTTTAGTGTTTGTTTGGAATTTACGCAGCATTGAAAACAGCTCTAAAATTGCTCCAAAATGTTTAAAAATACATTTCAGTCCGGCTTCTTGTCCATCCTCTATAGCATCGGTAGCAAACCATTGCAGATTTGGGATAAAAAAGTGCGCAATGGCCACATAAAACGTATCACCGACGGAGACATTCAGAGTCTTGTACTGGAAATCCTGGGAACAAATGTCAGCACCACGTATATAACGTGTCCAGCAGATCCTAAGAAGACGCTAGGTATTAAACTGCCTTTCCTGGTCATGATCATCAAGAATGTGCGGAAGTACTTCACATTTGAAGTGCAGGTATGGATAGAAAATCAATACTATCGACAAAACGTGCTTGCATGTTCGCGAGTCAAATTCTTCTCCCTCTTCAGGTGCTCGACGACAAAAACGTAAGGCGGAGATTTAGAGCGAGTAATTACCAATCAACAACCCGCGTCAAGCCTTTCATTTGCACAATGCCAATGCGCCTGGACGAGGGATGGAATCAGATTCAGTTCAATCTCTCAGATTTCACGCGACGAGCGTACGGAACGAACTACGTGGAAACGCTTAGAGTGCAGATTCACGCAAATTGTCGCATTCGGCGAGTGTATTTCTCGGATCGCCTGTACTCTGAAGATGAACTGCCATCGGAATTTAAGCTTTTCCTGCCCATCCAAAAACCAGCACCGAAGCCTTTAGCACAGCAAGCCTGCTAAAATTTCTTTGAGTCTGAAACACAAAGTCACCGTTTTTCTACACCAATAACTATTTATTGATCGGGAATCGTGAGGATTTCCACGCCTGAATCCGTGATGAGAACCGTGTGCTCAAATTGAGCACTGCGAGACCCATCCACACTCACGGCTGTCCAGTTATCCTCAAGGATCTCTACTTCTGGACCTCCAGATGAGATTACTGGTTCCACGGTAAAAACCATTCCCGGCTTCATGAATCCGCCTGCAGAATTTTCTGGAAAGACGGCAAAGACACATATTTCTCACTTTGTCACGCTTTTTCAAACCATAATAAAAAAATTTTCAATTAAAATTCATGATAATAACTTGGTGTCGCTTTTGCAAATATAAAATGCAGATATAATAAAATTTTTGGTCCTGCCATTGGAAAATATCGTATTATTCCTACTCACTGAAATGCAGCACTTCCGGAGGACCGTGAAAATAGGATCCAATTCCGTGGCCAATGAACGCCGGTACAACGCAAAATTTATGTCTTTTCGCGTGATTTTGTATGTTTTTCCCGATTCCTGAGAACTTCATGTTCGGACCACAAGCCGCAATTCCCTCTATGAGGCACTCTTCAGCCACTCTCACGAGCTTCTGGCCAATTTCATCAACATTCCCAACAAGAAATGTTCTGGAACAGTCTCCGTGGTGACCTTGGAAGTACACTGTGATATCCACGTTGATTATATCTCCATCCTCGAGCGGACGATCATCGGGAATGCCGTGGCAAGCGACATTGTTTACCGAAGTACATACGGATTTTGGGAAACCACCGTACCTCAGTGGCGACGGATAGGCATTGGCCTTAAGGATTGCCTCATGCACAAAGGCATCAATATCATCAGTTGTCCTGCCCACTTGAACGACTTTCTCACACTCTTTCAGAATCCGTGCTGCTAATTTGCAGCTTGCTCGCATTCTCGCGACGGTATTTTCACATTTGATTTCCACATCGCCCACCGTGGAAGATGGCTCTTGCGGCTTAAGATAGTATGGAGGCACATTGATGTGGGCAGGGATGGATCTCTCAGGACTGACTTTTCCTGGTGAAATTGGATGAAATATTCCCAGATTTTTCCTGTCGACAGAAATTAATTGATTTTGAGAATTACATGTGAAAATAGAGCACCAGACAGTAAACTAACTTTCCTGAAAAGGAAAATATCCCTCTCGCAGGGATAGCACCGGATTTTTTTGCCAGATCCACGAGATATTGCGAAACACTCCTCATTACACTGAGCGAAAGGTATCCGTATATTTAGCCGAATGAGTGGCGGTGAGTGTCTCGACTACGGATGGAACAGCTGATTCCGGAGTGGAAACCATTCAATGCATCTTTTGAGAATCCTTCCAATTGATTTGCCGCCAAGATATATTTTCGCGCGTTGTGCGGAAAATCGTTATTCAACGCTGAGTTCTCAAAGATGAAATTCTCAAAGTGGTTTGTCCTCTTCTTCAGTGTCTTATTATGTCCTTGTTATGGAAAAGTATATATTGATTTAGTGCAAAAATACTTAATTTCAGTCAGAAATGTGCATTCCATCGTTATGATGCTGTGCAGTGAAAGAGGTAAAAAATTTTCGAACGCATATTTCCTTATGGAAATGCTAATATTGAATATTTTCCTTAGACTTCATTAGCTTGGGAAAACAACTAAATAGTGAGAATATCTACACTCGTGGTTACTTCATTGGAAAGGAGAATTTAAACATTACGAGTATTCTTTCGCGATTAATTTACAGTTCTTGTGGTGTAGTCGTGAATTGTGAGTGCTCAGGAGCAGATGAAATTGTTCAGATCGCGTCAAATTATCGCTTTTTCAATATCACCTACTCTTGGCTTCTTTTTGGCGCTGAAGACAACACTTGGCAGCAATTTCTTGATCCTGTGTTTAACATTGAATTCTCTTCGGATGTGGTGTTTGTTCAAACTCAAAATAATTCCACTAAACTTGATCTTATTGATGTATACAGTCTCGGAAGACACCGCGGAAGTTCCCTGATTGGTGTCAAATTTGCTGAGTATGATAATGCTGATCGATCACTGGATATAATACTGAATTTGTGGCCGAAATTTGATAGAAATCATCGTGCGAATTTCAAAGGATTTCAGCTTAAAGCAGTTGTCACGGTAATTAAATTATGAAAATCAACATAAATGAAATGAAAATTACGAGAAATCAATTGGTTTACCAAAATAATTTTTTTTTTAAATTCATTTAATTTGTTTATCTTTTTATTCAGATTGACAGAGACAACATGACAGAAGCGGATGTTAAGCCTCTGTTATTGCAACCTGGAAAAACTCCTGGGATCGTGGCTTTTGTTAAATATCAGTCCCATCTTAATTATTATCTGCAAGACATGTACAATTTCAGCCTAAAATACCGAATAACTAGGGCCTGGGCTGGTCACTTACCTTCGGGCTATCGCCTAGGTCTACTTGGCGTTATGACTCGTGGAGAAGCTGATATTTCCATGAGCGCTGTATTTGCCTACATCCACCGTTTCATAGAGTATGACTTTGTCCATAGCAGTTACATGTTTAAGGTGGGATTCGTGTTTCGTGTGGGTTCGGATTCCAGTGCTTCTGATGCATCGCTTCTGGCACCCTTTGAAACTGACGTGTGGCTTTCTCTGATGGTCACTATTTGCATTGTTCTGTTTGTTGGGGTCATTGTTAGGATGATTTTCCTGGTAACGAAGCATCCATTTTCCGGATCAATGGTGAGAGATCTTGTGGACATCTTCGCAGCGCTCTGTCAACAAGGTGTGGATCCGGTGCCTGGAAACATTGTCCAGAAAATCATTATCTTCATGACACTGTTTCTGGCCTTCTTCCTATACAACTACTATACATCTTCTGTTGTGGGAGTACTGCTTAGTTCTCCGATTAAAGGCCCAACAACTCCTGAAGAGATTCTTGAAAGCACGTTTAAGGTTTCCTTTGACGATGTAGGTTATCATAAGATCCTCTTTCAAGAGAAGAGAATGCCCATAATTTCTGAAATATACAATAAGAAAATGACGGGCCTGAAGAGAGGTACTAATGACCTGCCTATGTACACTGGAATCCAAAAAGCTGTGCCCTACATAAAGTCCGGCGGATGGGCTTTTCATTGTGAGTTAACTGAAGCCTATAGTGCCATTGCGAAATCCTTCGACGCATCGGAGATCTGCGATTTGAGAGTTGTGACCGGACTCATGATAACCGAATATTTGCAAACCATCCTGCCAAAGTTCAGTCAATACAAGGAGCTACATATGATTGGCTTTATGCGTCTTCATGAACTAGGATTTGTCAATCGAGCACTCAAAATTTACTGGAATGACAAGCCAGAGTGCACTTCAGGCATTACAGTGTTTGCAGTGGGTTTCCAAGCAGTTTCAGCGGCATTTTATGTCCTTTTCTTGGGAATGGTTGGTTCCCTTGTTTTGCTAGTGGGTGAAATTGTGTGGAAAAGGCACGGATGGAAATATATTCATTACCTTCAGAGCAAAACTGTCCACTTTAGAGTTCAATTTAGAGGCAATGGCAATTCATAAAATATTTGCATTGTCTGCTCTACCACAGATTGCGATTTTTGCATATAAAATCTACAAAATGACAAAATTGCCTACAATTTTCCTTTACAAAGTCATTGCAAACAGTCATCAAATTGACCAAATAACTATTTTTTCTAATATTTATTGACACGATTAAGAGTTCTGGTTGTTCGTCAAAATTGAGCGCCAAGTCCGCTGAATTGCACTACCCTCGACGTTATCAAATCATGCACCACCAGCGTGTTGGGTTGAAGACAGGTTGTGTGTCCACAGAGACTGCCATCATCTTGAGCCACAAAGGGCTCCGGAGGTTTTGTGGTTTTGTCATGGGTGAGCTGCTTCTCTTTTCCGTCTACGAAGCCACGAAAATAGATGGGAAGTCTAGTGACGAGGGCGCATTTGGCTTCTCAACGTCAGTTCAGATGCAGAGGTGAAAATATTGACGGTGTTTTCATGTGTGAGAGAGGTGAGAGACAACAAAGAAATACACACTTGGGCGACTTGGCCAATAAATTACAGTGCATTAATGTAATATTGTGTCACTTGGATGAAAATTGTATCTGCTTACAATGCTACACATGAAGAAAAGTGCTTAAAATAAAGGAAAGATTTGAAATAAATTAGATGCACAATTTGTGTTAGGTTTTATGAAAGAAGATATTAAATTGTAATTTGGTGTACAAAAAAAGCAACCGCAATAATCAAAAACTTTGATCATTTATTTAAACCACGATCAAGCTACGATACTTTGGATTGTCACCGCAAGATTCTATCGAGACAGAAATGGATAAGAGGTTGCGTCGGTGCTGTGAATTCTCTCATCGCTCATTTGAGTCCATCATGGACAATTCAGCTCTTAAGATATTTCAGAATTCTCTTGAAAAAGCACTAGAAAAAAAAAGAATTCAAAAGCGTAGTTTAGCTTTGAGATAATTAAATTAACTATAATAACTATTATAATGCCTGTGTTGGAATTTTTCTCAATGCAAATATGTCACTTTAAAAATATGCAACAAATTCACTAATTCCAATCATTTTTAGAATTTTGATCAGTAAATGTATTAATTCTAGGGATATCAGAAAACATCAACGGCAGTAAGAAAAGATTATCTGCCAGCATCTAAGGTCAGCAACTAAAGTGCGTGGTATGGGATCAGGAGGGAATACGTGAGGATTGTGGTGATGCTGTAAAGTATTTACAGTTACAGATGGGCGCGGAGGAGGTGGCATTAGTAGAATTTCATAATTAAAAGTTCAGTTCATGCTGTATGTATTGCATGTGTTGCGGGAAAACACCCCGACGTACATATGATGTAAAATTTTCGTGGTGCTACGACTTCTTTTCGACGTATTTCCTCTTCTTCTACACATATTGGTGGTGTTTTGATGATCTTCGATGAACATAAATGCGTGCACTCTTGACGTTTTATGCCACTTTTATGACACATCTTCCTCTTTTTGCAATTTTAATGGTCCTTTTTCCCTACAACTCACTAGACGAAAGAGAATGCCGAGCGCGAACATTAAACTTTCCAGAGTAACGTTCGAATCCGCTCTGCAGATGATCGCATCCGATGAAAACATGCGGTTTTCTGTTGGTGAATCTTTGTCACTTATTTATATTTCAAGTATTTGATATGAATTTACAAAAGATCTAACCCTTCTCTTGTTCTTGATTATTATGAGAAATTTGTGTGGCAACAATGTGATGGGTAGAATCTCAGGCCATTTCGCCTGAGCGGCTAGACATTAATTTGCAAATCACATAATTTTTTCACTTTATACTTTATATTTGACATGAAGAAGAATAATATTTTTCATTGCGAACAATGAAAATTATTAAATTACTCTACCTCGAGAGGGAGAACGGAGTGATGATGCTAAAGAGAACATAACAAAAGGTGCATGAAAAAATTCCTGTCTTTTAACGCTTCGGTGACTCAACCATTTGACGAAAGCTAAGGGCGTCTCGCAATAACTTCACCCAGGAATGGAATTAATTTGTGTACTTTATACGATTATTTTTACCACTAACAAACTAATAGCCAAATGAGAAATGAAATTGACATCATTGCGGTCATGTTAGAAAAGAATTGCATTTGATATCATCTTGAGCTTTTACAAAGCTTATTCTTTTAATGTGCCACTTTTATTTGCTTCATTGGTTTAATTAACTCGGATTGAATGCAAGGCGCTGCATTTCTAACTTTTATAACTAATTATGAACTGTAAATATATTTCACAAGGAATTCCTTTCTCTGAAATTAGAATCACAAAATTACAATAGTATATTATAAATGATCGAATCCTTCCACAGTCATATTGTATCAAAAAATTTAGTAACTATAATATGTAATCCTGCAATTATGACACGTAGGAAACGATGATTGTTTCTACTGTCTGTGCTACATGCAAATAGCAAGGAGGAAATCAGTGGAAAATTGCATATCAATTTCCTCTTGGGAATTTTTATTGACGCACAACTAATTGCCAATTACTCTGCGTGTCCCAGCTTCATGTGTGGATGTGTGCTCGTATGATGAAAAATTGCAATATCTCTAGTTCTTGAACGCCACCATCGTGCTCAGAGAACTTCTCGATATAATTCCTCTGGCGATGATGTTGTGTTTCGAAATGGCATCGCGACCGCGCGGGGTGAGAGAAGATGTAGAGAAGCAGCGCAGAAGGTGAAGATGATATTGAAAGGCGATCATGATGATGATATGTACCGCTTCTAATGAGCGGGAACTAACTAATATCTTGATGTGTGGATCAACATTTTCCCCTCTTGCGAATGCTGGGTGATGTTCACAAGACTCCTGCCGCTCTCTCTTAACTTCTTACATTGATGATTGAGGTGTGTGTGACAAAAAGTGTCTCTTGTCGTTCACCTCTTAAGAGTACACACATACACACATACTTGGTCGCCGTTGCGAAATATTCCCAATGATCTTTGATGGTACGACGGAGAAATTTACTGATCATATTTGCCATGAATAGCAAAGGAAAATCCCTACGCAATTTTCACACGCTCATGAGTGTTTGCATATGCTAAAAAATGGCAATCCTTGCAAATTGGGAGTATTATGAAGCTTTGCAAACATGTAGGTGGTTTTGAAGAGTCCCGCGACTCGTTAAGCCTTCATTCCGCACTATGATCACCCTTCCAAATGACACTAATTTACTTTTTTCCTCGACAACGCACGTAACATCTCGTTAGAGTGAAAGAGAGAGGCTATTTTTTTTTACTAAATATTGTACGCTTAGATTCGGAATTGCTGCGCTGTTCGGGTTCGGGTTTGTTTGAAAATTGCTCTGGTAACTTTAGTGTTCAGCAACCAACACTGAGTCAGTCGATCTCAATACTCGATCCGCAACGGTCGGTTTTCTTAGCGCGCTTCTGATGTTTTTCTCTCTTGTCGTGCCATCATCGAGGTACTCTTTCTCCTTGCAGCTAGCTTTTGAAGTGCTTTAAAGTCACACGGACAATTCTCAGTGAAATAACTTGTGTGGATGATTGCGCGAAGGAAGTGCTGCAAATTGAGATATTTTTGGTAATTTTTTACTCGAATTTTATCAAAGTTTATGTTGTGTGGCATTATTGTTATTTCCCTATCCATTTTGTTACAATTTTCACGATCACTGCTTTCAACTAATATAATGTGCATAAAAGTTTCAAATTTGGATATTCCCGTGAATTGCGTAATGCAGGAATCTCCAGTGTCCTCGCCTCATCTTACAAGGGAGGCACTGAATTTATATTCACTTTCACAACATTGAAGAGATGACGAACAAATAATAATGCCAGGGATCTCAAGATGAGATGAAGAGAAGGAAAAGACGATCCACAGTGTTGGAATAAGTAAAAAGACTGTGAGCAATTGTATGCGTATGTGTTCGTTATGTGAAAAAAAATTGCAACAAAATTGACGAGAAAAATTGCAGAAGTCAAGTTTCATTGTGCCTCCTTCTCCCGTTCGACATTTAATCCACGGCAACAACGGCACAAAACAATACCAACTTCTCTGCGCTACGCGAAAAATTCTTTCCCATAGCCAGAGTCATGGACTGATCGCGACACAATCGCAAATATCGTCTTCTCTTCCTTACTTGTGGCTTTCTTTGCTTAGCCCGCAATCACTCCTCACGACAATGCCAAAGAATTTAGGAATTTGAGGGGATTTCGACGATATTTTCAGAATATGTGTGAAAAACTGCACCGGAAGTCTTAAGTGTTCTCACATAGAACAGCTATGCGAAAGACCATACTTATGGAAATTCGAGTAATATCGCAATATATATTCAACCTTCGATTTAGTTGTTCGTCGTTTAAACTAATGAAAATTCACGTGAATTGGACTGAACTTCAACAATTATACGATAAATGTATTATAACAATAAAAAAAGGGTTGTGCAATTATCTACTTTAATCAAACTCATGCTAAATTTCTTAGTTTAGAAGGTAACGACAATGGTGATTGCCGAGAGATTTTTCACAATCTTTAGAATGTAGATTAATAGGAAATATGAGTGATAGTGCGTACATTTTTTCGTCTTTTGGCAGAAGCTCACTAAGAGGTGTGTAACTAGTATGTGTGATAGCCTTGCGTATGCGTGAGATTGGTGGATTGACCGCCCTTCTGGGATAGGTCACGTTCATCGAATCATTATAATACCTTTGCGCAGAAACTCACTAAGATACATGGTTGGGTTAATATAGGAAAACAATAATTCAGGAGTTTTATGTCAATGACAAGTTCTCTTACTTTACCGCCAATAAGACCTCATCGAAATGTAAAATTACAATATACAGGCGCGCTGCGTGGGTTGCAATTACTCAAAGTCATCACCAACAGGTTTCTATGAATCTGACTCAAGAGTCTCTGTGCTGGCTGCAATGATTTATCTGGCGGACAAAAGAAAATAGCAACAAAAATAAAATAATTTAATAATAGTCAAATGTTATGTGGCATCCATGAAAATTGTGCTCTGGTATGGAA